TGCTTGAGATTGGAGACGAGGACAAGACAGTGACAAGAACCTCCCGCAGACAAATGGCCAAGAAGTCTGGGCGAAGCGGGTGGGGTGGGGGTGGGGGGGGCTTGTAACTCGTCATGGCCATAGAAAGTCCTGTCCTTTTCGGTGGAGTAGCTGGTGGTTTTGAACTGCCGACCTTGCGGATAGCACCCAACACAACCATTATGCCACCAGGGCTCCTAAATATACAAAGGGACTTCAGGTAGTTTATGCAGAAATGAAATGTAGCAGAATGGACATGTCCCACAAGCTTTTAGAGATCTCTGGCAGCACACACAGACACGAGTACACATGCCCACCCAATGGCATCGGGGCTCTGAGCTGGGCTACTGACCACAAGGTCAGCTGTTTGAAACCACCACCTGCTCCTCAGGAGAAAGACGGGCCTTTGACTCTTGTAAAGAGTAACAGCCGCAGACACCAGAGGGGCAGTTGGGTACCCTGCGTTAGAGGGCCGCTGGGGGTCTGAGTGCACTCAGTGGCAGTGCATTTTCAGACATGCACCTGCATGTATTCCCGGACATCTTCCTACACCCATGTAGCATCTCTCCCTGGGTGCCACTCACATAGTCTGTGCTTGTTATAACTGTTGGCAAACATTGCGCACCTTACAGCACTCACCAAAGTTGTCTGCTATTCTTGCATGCCGCAAGGTCGGCATTGGCCGTGGTCATGTTGTACCGATGTTCCTCATAATTGTGTGACTGCAATCCACACGGGTCTATTCTCCAGTAGGGATCTCCCTGCCCCCCTGGCGCCAGCTCCAGGAACCACCAGAGAACACTGCACTCCACACTGCAGCTCTTCTTGACGTTGTAGAAAATGGTATTGAGCATTTGTGTTTGACTCTTCTCACTCGGCATTAAAAATCAAGCTCACTGCCATCGAGTCCACACCGATCCATCGCGAACCTATAGGACAGGGTTGAACTGCCCCTGGGAGTTTCCAAGGCTTTAACTCTTGATGGGAGTAGAGAGTCCTGTTTCTCTCCCTTGGAGCACTTGGTGGTTTTGAACAGCTGACCTTGCAGTTAGCAGCCCAACGTGTAGCCACTGCACCACCAGGGCTCAACGTAGTGACCTCCAAACTCATCCAGGAAGTAAGATATGTCACACTCAGCACCGCTTCCCCCCTTTTTGTTGTGAGCGGGGTGACGGTTCACAGAGGAGACCAATTTCCCATTGAACAATTCAGACACAGTTTTCCCTCTTGACTGTAATCCCCACGAGGAAGTCTGTCCTGCCCCACTTCCTCCCTGGGGCGTCTGTTTCCATCCATCCCTCCTCCTTCCCTAACCCTCTGACTTTTGTCCGTAGCCACGAGACTTTGTGGTAACCTAGTCCTGTGAGTGACATCGCACCACCGATGCCATTGTCTGTCTGTCAGAAGCGAGACGATGGGCCCAGACTTGCCACCCTCTGCCCCAGTTGAGAAAATGTGGGCTCAGCACTTGGCTCTCCCTCATCTCGGGCAAGTTCCCTAACCATGCACAAAACTCACTTCTCGTCTTCAAAGTGTCAGTAAGACGAGGGTCTGTCACGTGGGATTGCTCTGCTAAACAAAATGAAACCCATGCCTTGTTTGACGCATAGGAATTTCACAGGAGACTTCTGCTGTATTTTAATTAAAGTCTGCTGCTTGCATGGGGATTTCACTTTTAAACGTGTTCCTGTGAATTGAGTGAAGGCTTACAGAGCGGATCATCAGTTTTACATTCAATTCACACACGTTTGGTTTCCACCCATCCTTTGCGGTGCCCTAGCGGCTCCTACTTCCACCCTGTGTTTCCTGTTTCCGTTGTTCCCGGCATTGACCTGTCTATTGTTTGGTTGAAAAGTGAGCCAAGGGGGTGATTTCAGACCAGGGGCCACCGTCTTGAAGGTTCCACTAGTCTCTGCATCCAGGAAGCCGGAGCTCTCTCCCAATCATTGTTCTTCTTACATTGCATCCTGTTCCATTGTATGTGGGGACCCTTTGTGGCGGGCCCTGCTTCCTTCCATCTTTCTGATGTGTGGAATGCTGCTGCTGTCATGACCAGGGGTGCGCCTGTGTCTGTCTGTGTCACTGCGCCGACTTCCCGGGATATCTTCCTAGGATCGACAGCGCTGATCCAAAGGTACTTCTATTTCTAGCTTTTGAGGCAGTGTCCTGCCATTTTTCATGGTGGTTACACCATCCTACAATCCCACCCGCCGTGTGGAAGAATTCAGGTTTCCCGCCAATGCCAGTGGGTGCTCTCAGTTTTGATAGGTGCCTTTTTTCGGGGCTGAGATGGGGTCTCAATATAGTTTGGATTTGCACGTCTAAGAGCTACTGACCTGCAGCCTCTCTGTGGCGTCGTTAGCGCCCGAGCGCCCGCCGATTTGGTGATGTGTCTGTTTGTGTCCTTTGCCCATTTTTTTCATTGTTTGCCTTTTTGTTGTTGAGTAGTTGGCGTTTTCCGTACACTGGAGGAGGATTTGGTTTTGAAAACAAGAAAATTCACTCTGGTCCAACCTGAAGTTGCAATATCTGGGGGGGTCATTCCTGGAGAGCCCTTTGGAGCTATGGAAACTGTGGTGCCTGTGTCCCTAGCTACAGAGAACGTCTGAGGATAGATTTGGCGTCGTGGATTCAACCACGGGGAATAAGTATTTGGGGAGAAGAGAAGATGATCGCCCATGGGTACCTGAAGTAGTGAGACAGGTGTTGGCAACGAAAACTGAAGAGTCGCTGAAGACACGTCGCTGTCTGTAGACTGACGCGCCCCCTGTGAGAGATGGGCTGGGGTGAGAGGGGTGCCGGACCCCCCAGTTAGGTGAGTCACCAGAGGCATGGCAACCTTCCACAGACTCTCTTCAGGGAAGCCGGGAAGGGAATCCGCAGCCTGGTGCTACAGCGGTGGAGCACTTGGCTGCTAACCGGAGAACAGGCAGCCCGGCGGCTGATCCCGCACACGCTGCTGTCCCAAGACCCAAGGCAACAGCTCCGCTTGGTCACATGACTGCGTGGAGGAGTGAGAGGCAGCGAAGGCAGTGGGCCCACGTGGTCCATTTGATAGTGAAGCAGCCGCAGCCGCAGCAGCAGGGCAGAGGGATTCTGCTGGAGGTTGAGAGGTCCGAAGAGGCCAAAGAATGGCAGCTACGTGGAGGCGCGGGCTGGGGAGCATGCTGGACGCACGCTCTCCTTTTATTTCAGACAGGCTTGAATGACCTCCTAGGCTTGGGTGCTCTCCGTCTCTGTAATATCATTTACACTCCGTGCTTCCCAGGAAAGTGACGTCCATAGTGTCCCGTGTGTTTCCTGTCACGGGAAACCATGAACTCAGGAAGGAGACAGCCCCTCTGGTTTCTCACCAGCCTGACAGTGTCCCCCTGACCTGTCTTCACGAAGACTTCAGCCTGCCGGCCTCCCTCGTCCCTCTAGCTCGGGACCCTGGATGGAGGAGAGAGAGAGAGAGAGAATGGCCCCAGTGAGAGAGGAGTGAGGCACCGAGTTCTGGGGCTGCAGAGGCAGGATGGCAGTCTCCGGGGCTGAGAGGCTTTTGCTACTGCAGCCGTGTGCTGTGAACCCTGGCCCCTCCCGACATGGGTTGCGGGCTGGCTTGTTCCAAGCAGAGCCCCTTGGAAGCCTGCCGCTGAATGGCGAGTTGGTCTTGCCTCATAGCAACCCTAGGATAGGGCCGAGGAAGCCTGCTCCTGGGGTCTTCCTGGACCATAACGCGTCTGGGACCAGACCACCGGGTCATTTGTCCCCAAGAGCAGCTGGAGGGTTCAAACGCTGGCCTTTGGGTTGACAGTCCAGCACTTATCCATGGCTCCTTTGGAACACATGCATATTCTGTGTACATCAGTGGCCTGGGGATGTTTTAGCAAAAATGTCACCAACTGGGTAGCTAAAAACACCAGAAATCTCCCCTCTTACAGGTCTGGGAGCTAGAAGTCCCAAACCCAGGTGTCAACAGGGTAATGCTTGCTGTGAGAATCCTCCCTTGCCTCTTTCAACTTCTGGTGGTGGCCGGCAGCCCTTGGCTTGTTGCAGCCTCGCTCCTGTCTCTGCCTCCGTCGTCTTGTGGCTTCTTCCCCGAGTTCTGCATCACTTTTCTTCTTCCTCTAAGCACCCCAGCCATCACCACCCCCCAATCCAGTGCGACTGCATGTTCACGTATCACTTTTTCAGACACACAAGCTCTAAATAAGTAAGTACGCAATTGCGAGTGCCCAAGTTAGAGCTTGAACATGTCTTTTGGGGAGAGACAAACAGCCTGTGACAATACGCCATTCACCGCCGGGTCGGACACGTTCAGAGTTCTGGCTTATCACCACTGGCTAAAAGCATGAGACATGGCCAAGTCCCCAGCTCCCGCCTCTACTGCACGGCACGTTGTCTCCATGTCCCTCCCTGTACCCAAGAGAGACTACACGCCCGCCCCACTTCCTTGTCCATCTCCCCATCCCCACCAGACAGCAGCCTTCTCTATTCCCCCAATTATATTTTTCTCTTCTTGAGGGCTTCCCAGACGGCTCTCCGCTTCAGGCTGAGGACTCTTGCAGCAGAAGCCTTGATTGGGAGGCCGGGCGCCTTCTTGTGACCTCGGAGGGCTCTGACAGGAGCTCTCTCCAGGCCCCTTGGTCTCGGGAGCCACTTACAGCAGGAGATTGCACTGCTGTAGAAGGAGGCTGGAACCACCCGAATGTGGACGGGGCGGGGAACAATCATAGAAGTTGGGGCCAAATGAAAATGAGCATCCCCCTCAAACCACAGTGGAACGCTTTGCACGAAGAATCAGGGATTCCAAAACGGGTGCGTTCCCCAGCAGGGCTCACCCCCTGACGTTCAGAGAGGGACAGGCGACGTTTGGGAGGGGAGCTGGGAAGGGAGAAATAAGTACCGATGCTGTGCTGTCTGGGGCTCAGGGGCTTTTCCCATGGGTCGTGTTGTCCCTGCTGAAGCTTTGCTTCTCCGACGCCTGTCTTTGTTCTCAGGGAAGGCCGCTCAGACGCCCACGGCCGAGGCGGTCACCAAAGAATCGGCGATGTCATGCTGAAGGCCACTCAGGGCATGAAGGTGAGCTGGCGCGGACGTGGGTGGCGCTGGCACACCGCCACCTGAAGGAGGGTCTGAGCTCATGGGAAGTGGGCAGGGGTGGGCAGTGGTCAGCCTTCCAGCTAGACTGTTTCAAGCTGCGTTTGGGCCCCTAGAGGCCAATCCCTTCCCCTTGAGGGAGTCGTGCCAGGGTGTTTTACCTTCGTGTGCTCTTGTGTAATGAAAACACACAGGAGTTCCCCATGAAAATTGTTCAGACTTTTTTTTTGTAACTATGTCAGGAAAAAACATTGTTTGCTTGCCTGGCCATTCTCATCAGGATGATTCACGAGTTAATTCAAAGATAGGAACGACGCCTGGTCAGCTCTACCACTTTGGTTTCGCTAGACGTTGTTAAGCTGGTTCCGCCTGACGACCACGCTGTGTACACAGACTTTAAATCAGCATGAAGGGCCGGTGTATCTTCTACTCTCCCACGATATTTGTAATGATATAAATTAGAAAAAGGCTATCCCAAAGACCCTATACCTATGAAGCCAATGCTCAGCTCTCTTTTTAAAAATCTGCCCTTTATATCTGAAATTAAAAAAAAAAACTTTGATAATTATTTTATTATAGGAAATGAAATTAATGGGGTTTATCTTTTAAATACAAAATATGTCTCTATTTATATTTTAAAGCAGCCTTTCTATATCACAACTTTAAGCTAATGGTCCCCCTAAAGTTTCCCCTGTCTATCCATCCATCCATGTGGTATTGGCTGAGCCCTACCACAGAGAAGACACTCAGAGAGCACATGGTGCTGTAATGACTGCCACGCTTCCTCGTTAACCAGCTGCCCGCGGGTCAGTTCTGATGGCAGGTGATCATTCAGAACTCTGCTCTGGTCAGGAGTAGATCGCCAGGCCTTTCTTCTGAAGCACCGTTAGTGCACTTGAACCACTAACCTTTCAGTTAGCAGCTGAGCACATTAACGGCTCGCACCATCCAGGGATCCCATTTTCCTCATTAGAAGCCTCTTTCCCCATGTTTATTTGTTCCCACTTTTTCCCCCCAACCCATTTTAGGTTTTCACCTTTTCTTAGAATTCCCTTTTCTGAGGTCATATGCCTGCCTTTGGGGGGTGGGGGTTGTTACCATCTGCCTTCCCTTCCTCTAAAGAAGGAAGCCCTTGGGGGAACATCTGAGGCCTGTGAAGCTTCTCCTCCCCACCCCAACCCCACCCCCACCAAGTCAGATCCGTCCTTGCGCCCAAAGTTCCCCTGATGACCCTCCTGTTCTCCAGGCTTGTCTTTGCTGCGTCCCTGCTGCCCCTTCCCCACTGAGGACGGACACTACATCCTGCATCCGGCCTCCTCTTGTCCCCCAGCCCAGAGGGCCTCCGAAAAGCTGTGCCCAGCGAGAGCTTTGTAGTTCAGCAGCCTGGCGAGGAACGGGCACGTGGCATGGGCACGTGGCATGTGGCTGCAGGCGTCTTAGCACTTGTCTGACGTTGTTCTAGCAGAGCGCTCTGCGAGCAAGAGCAAACTAAACGGAGAGGCCCGCTGAGCACCACAGGCAGCAGTTTGGAAAAATGAGTCGGGGTTTTGATTTTTCTCGTGGTGGTGCTGGTGGCTGGTTTTTACGGGTTTTTACGACGTGTGCAGGAGACGCCAGTTAGTGCTCCCGCTGACCACCCACCCATGCCCTTCCTCGCCTCTGGAGTAAGTGCCTGGGCTGAGCAGCGGCTGCGAGAGATGCCCCAGTCCTGAGCGCCCACCTCAGGCCACACGCGGAGCCGTCACACAGGCACTTTGCAATCAGCACAGGGGAAGGGCCTTCTCATCTCCCGGCACGGCCCTCCATTTGTCCTCCACGCTGGGAGCCTGGCGCTCTTTCTAGAAGCATCTCTCCCCCAGCATCTGCAGCCTGCCCTGTCTTCTTTGGAAACTCCTGCCGCTGTTTTCCTGCGGGCTCCGTTTTCTCTCTGCTCGGTGACTGCCCAGCCTCTTACTTTCGACCCAACCCATCCTCCCCTGCCACCCTATAGATGACTGCACGTAGTCGTATCTATTTGACCACCCCAAGCGGCCTGTGCTTGAAGTCCTCATTGGCCCTCTGCTACTTTGAAAATACAATCTAAACCCTACACCTGACAGAAGAAAGCCTTCACACCCTAGCCCTATGCCATCCTGGTAGACTACCCACACCCCCTCAAGTCTGTTATACATTCTCCCCTGGACTCAGCCACACCTGCTGCAGGTGCACTGTGTCTGACTGCCTTTCTGTACTTACTCATTTATAACAAACATTAATTGAGCACCTAGTATGTGTGCTGGGCCCCACGGATCTAGCATAAAGGACCTGGTAGCACAGTGGTTACCCATTGGGTTTCGAACCTCAAGGTCAGCAGTTCGAAACCACCAACTGTTCTATGGGAGACAGAGGAGGCTTTCTACTCCCGTAAAGAGTTACAGTCTTGGAAACCCACAGGGGCAGTTTTTCCCGTCCTTTTGGGTCTCTGTGAGTTTCTTTGTCTATTTGCGTGTTCTTAAGATAAATAAACTGGAGCATGACAAATATTCACTCTCAACTCCAAGAGGGGACCACATGTGTTAAAATTGCAGGCACGCATGTGGACACGTTTCACTGGTGAGGTGAGGTCTGAACGCCCTCTAGTTCCTACCAGTGTCATCTTTTTAGTTTGGCCACAGAACTTAGGCAAGACGCTGGATGAGGCTGGGTGGAGGGAGTACAGAAGCTCCCTACCTGTGCACATTTGGGGACACTTTTCTGTGACTTTCATTATTTCAACATGAAAAATAAACCCAATGGGGCAACTGTGTGACCAGGGCTAATATGGGCAGATGTAAGTGGCGTGCAGTCCCAAAGGACAGAGGAGTCCCTGGCTGACTCAGGGTGATCAGGGACGGCCTACCCGAGCTAGCCTCAGGCCTGCTCCCGGGAAGTCAGTGTGGAGCCTGGCTGAAGACAGCTACTGCTGATCCAGAGGCATCTCCACGTTCAAGGCCCGTCCCGTGGCATTCTTCCCCGTCTGCAATGGGGAGATGGATTTCTCCTTTAAGACTTTATCTTCCAGCGTTTTTGCCTCGTGTCTGTCCCCACTGCCACTCCGTAGAGAGACTGCCACTCCATAGAGAGGAGGGGCCATGTCTCACCCTCACGCCCATCTCCTTGGCGTCCAGCAGAGGGGGACTCGGTAGTTTCTCAGACAGTCATTGTGTGAACAAACTGGGCGACTTAACCAGAAGATGGCAAGGGCATTCTTAATGTCATTCTTAACATAATGCATATTGGATGGTCACAGTCCATGTATCATTAGATGAAGAGGCTTCAAGAAGGTTGTGAGAAACTTCCAGTTTCCTTCACTTGCACTTGTCTGCAAACGGTATGAAACCCCTGTTGTATGACATTGCACAAGAGACACACAGACCCACCCGTAAGGAGTGCCGTTTTCAGAGTTCTTCTTAGCATGGCCAGTCTCCCTTTATACATTACATTTATGTCTCTAATAGTATTATCCATATTATATTTTAACCCATGTGCATTTGTAACTTCTCAGTACTTGAACAGTGCTTTTCATTTCATTCCGGAAATTCACCCTAAGCAGCAAAACCTAAGTGATTTCCCTGAGCTAGCCAGGCGGTGGGGACGCCGTGCACTGTCCCGGGCAGCTCAGCAGGACTTCTCTGTCCTCTCCCTCTGCCCTCTTCAGCAACTGGCTGTTCACCTGTGGAAGCACAATGAGGCACTGGAAGGCCTGGAGAATGGGATCAAGGGCTCCCGGCGGCTGGAGAACTTCTGTAGAGACTTCGAGCTACAGAAGGTGTGCTACCTGCCGCTCAACACCTTCCTCCTGCGGCCGCTGCACCGGCTCATGCACTACAAGCAGATCCTGGAGCGGCTGTGCAAGCACCACCCCCCGAACCACACCGACTTCAGGGACTGCCGAGGTGAGCGCAGCCACCTTGCTGTGGCCACTGGGGCCTGGCTGAGGGTGGGCGGCAGTTGCAGACTGTCCGCGGTAGGGAGAGAAAACCAGGCCTGGGGAAACGATGTCCCAGGGTCTCAGTTCCACGGGACAGGCAGTGCTTTTTAGAGTCGGATCAGCTATGTTGGGTGAAATCTCTCTGCAGAGAAGGCGTAACATCATCGCTTCCTCTCCCCACTCTCCATTCCATGCATTTCCCCCTTTGCTCCGGGCCTACAGAGCCCTGGACAGGGCTGCTCGGAGCCAGCCCTCCCAGGTCTCCTCTGGCCCGCACAGTGGGAAGGCTCCGTTCCTTCCTCAGCCATGCCCCGGAAAAGGACCGGCATTGCTGCTGGCTTTTGTCACGTACCAAACCAATGCAGCCAAGTCTGGGGCCGGCCGTTCTGCCTCCGGGTGGCCTCCCTGGTACAGAGTAGACCTGCTCCAGAGGGTTCTCGTGACGGGAACCTTGGCAGAAGCTGACCAGCAGGACTTTCTTCCATGGCAACACTGGGTGGGTCTGGGCTGCCACTCATCAGGTTAGTGGTAGCCATCCATTTGTACCAGCAAGGGGCCTGCGGAACTATACCAAACCGAACCAGCCCACTGCCATCGGGCCAGTTCCGACTCACAGGGCCCTCGACTCCTGGGGTGCCCGAGACTGCATCTCTGCGGGCACATGCGCCATCCTTCTGACACGGAGCAGCTGGTGGGCTGGACAGCTGACTGCGGTTAGTAGCCCAACGCAGATGTGCCCGGCCTGTATTAACGCTTAGTGCTCACATCAGGCCACGTTCACCACAAACACCAGAGAGGCTGAGAGGCCTGTCCAGAGTCAGATAGCGGAGAAGTAAAAGATCGATCGGGTCCCCATGCACCAACAGTTCTACTCCACTGTCTCACGGTGCTACAGCTCTCACTGCGAGGAGCAAATACTGTGCCTTGTACACCCTGAACTACTTCCTCCTAGACAAGCATGCTATCCCTGGTCACAGGTAAGAAACTTAGGCTCGGAGGGGGGCACAGGCCGGCCAGTGTCACTGCATTTGTCCGAGTTCGTGAGTGACATTCTAGGCCAGTGCAGCTAGACCTTTTCCACCGCAGACCCGTGTGCCTGAGAACTTTGCAACCGAGAAACGCATTGGATTATGTTTTTGATTTTTTAATTTGCTTTTGGGTTGAATTTTTGTCGAGTGTTCAGAAACCTTCTAGTGTTGTCACGTTTCCTGCAACCCCACATTCAGTGGCATGACCCCGGTCTCGGCTTTGCCCCCTCTGCCAGGCACCCTCTTTCTGAACTTAAGTTGTCCCGTGTGCTGTTATAGGGTCCGTTGCTGCCTGCACTTCCCGCCTAGCCCAGAGGCTCCCGGAGGGCCGGCCCAGGTTGTCACAGAGCCCCCCACCCCATTATCCACAGGGCCATGGGGAGCCCCTGATGCCCTTAAGATGCAATCTCGTCTCATGGGGAGCTGGCCCTCCTCCATGTTCTCTCGGGCACACTTGCATGGAGCAGCCCTGGGAGGGAAGAGCGTAGCGTGGCAGCGTGCTGGGGTGCAGGACTCCGCCTTGGGGACCTGCTGAGGGCAGGACTCCTCATTTAGAACTGAAGTGTCGGTAGGGGGTCTTCTTGGTTGAGTGGAGGGTGTGAAAAAAAATCGAGGCAAAGACTATGGAATATTCCAGACATCGAAAGAAATTCCTTGAGGCTGGAATGTGAAACAACACTGGATGAGATTGGGGAAGTAAGCTTGGACCAAGTCGCACAGGGTCACCCCAGGGGAAGATGGGAAGCGTGTTGAGAGGAATGGTGTGGTCAGCTTGTTCAAAGGGACATTCTTCTGTCGCTCTCTGTAATAAGTGAAGGGCTTCTGGTGAGGTTGGAAAGACGGCCCGTGTACTAGTTGCTGGGGTAATGAAAGCATCGACAATTCACGGAAGCCGAACAGAAATGGCCTGTGGCCTGTCCGTGCCGCTGTGTGCACCTGTGTGTTGGTTCTCTGCCTTCCGATTGGAGTCAGTACCACCCGCTCCTCTCCCTTCCTGGCAGACGCGTCCTCCGACTTTAAGCTTTGGTGTGTGCCTGATCGTTCACCCAACCGCACCCACGTGCCCTATTGGATTGGCAGTGCCAGTTGAAGCCAACTGGCCAGCCCTCGATGAGATGACCCAAGGTCCCTTTCAGCTCTGACGACTTGCGCCAATGAGCTTGAAGGACATTTGCATCTTTATGTGTATGATTCTTGGCAGACTTGCCAAAAAAATTTTTTTTTCTTGTGTTTCCAGTAGAGTCTGTCATTGATAATTAAATGGAACCCCATGTTTGTCACCTGGCTTAAACACTGGGTGGCATCGTTGCAGAAGGATTGGGGAAGACGAGGTGGGTCTGAACTTACATCACCTGACCACGAGGCTACAGGTGCCAGCAGCTGCACCAATCACACCCTGCCCCGGGAGTCAGGGGCCATCTTTTCCCTCTTTCGATCATGGCATCACCTAGGGATCTGTCGTTTCACCAGATGCCCAGCGGAGTCCAGTGAACGGTTTGGGAACCGCGGTCTCAGAGCTTTCTCGTGTCTACCCCTCAGCATTTGGTGCCAAAACCAAACACCCAAACTCCCTGCCGTCGAGTGGATGCCGACTCCTGGCAGCCCCGTATGACAGGGTAGAACCGGGCCTGCAGGTCTCCGAGACGGTCACTCTTTCCAGAAGTAGAAAGTGTCTTTCTGCCACGGAGCAGCTGGTGTACGAACTGCCATGCTTGCAGCCTGCACGTCACCACTGCGCCACCAGGGCTCGAGTCTGGTGCCCAGAAAATGCCCCGATGTCCGAAGATTAAAAAAGCCCTAGGCTTTGTCATTATGGGTGCAGCAACATTTTCTGGGATAAGCCTAACCCAGGGTAAGCCGTTAATTTGTACCCCAGGGAAAAGCACGAGAACACAGTTTTCACTTCCAAGTGAAGACGGTGCCCGAGGGAGGCAGGTATTTAGGGTTCTGAAGACTGGTGTTCAGTCTGCAAGCGTGTCTTGTTCTTGGCTTTGGCAGGGACTTTGAGTTTTGTTAATGGTCATGAAATATTTGGGAAATGGATAGGTGTAATGGCGCTCCAACATGAGAGATGTAATCTGTATCACTGACACACATATAAATACGGGCGTTGTATTGGCAAACATTTCAGTGTGTGTATTCTCACCATAATTAAGACAACCACCAACCAACCATAAGGCCAGTGCTTACCTATTCTGGCTTTACTAAGCCTTCCTCCTAACGTGTATTGTCCATTGAACATTAGCTCCTTCTACTTCAGCCGTGGTGCCAGGAGAGACCAGTCCCTGGAGAAGGACATCCTGCTTGGACACCCAAGGTTATGACCTTGGACAGGATGCATTGACCCAGTGTCTACAACAATGTGAGGCTGGATGGTGCCGGAGCGGCCAGGGCTTTGTACGCTGACTCCGTACTTCTTGACGGCACCTGCCAATAATTACACATAGTGGATGGCTTCCTGTCTGAGAGCGGGGGCCCACGTTTGGAAATAAAGCTTAATTCTGTCCTTATTCTTGGCAACCATCTTGGTAAACAGCATAATGCCAGCAGAAGGGAAAAGCAGGCGGCCAGTCTCACGTAGATCCTCTCACAAAACAGCCCCTATTTCGCCCCAGACCTTTCTGTGGCATCTCACTGTGTGTTCACGGTGCCAAGTTCTCTCCAGGAACAGGAGTGGGGAGAAACTTCTAGACTTGGAGAAAAATCAAGGCTCGCTTCTCCACCGCATCTCGTGCTGACACATTATTCTACTTGTAGAGCTGTATGGCGCAGAGCTAGAACCGGGTCGGTGACCTTTGCCAGCTGCCTTGATGAAACTAAATGCAAGCATGTGTACACAGGATGTAAATCACTGTTTTTAGGATCAGAGATAGACTGGTTCTCCCTAGAAGCCTGGCTTGCTATGCCCCTGAAGAGCAGAGCTATCAGGGGTGGGTGTGTGGGTGTGTGTGTGAGAGAGAGAGAGAGCTATCAGGCTGTGTATGTGTGTGTGTCTTCCTTGCCTGCGTTAATGCCGCCCTGTTTCTCTCTCCTTGGCTAGCTGGTGTGGGGGGCAGGGAGGGTGTGCGCATGCGTGTGCAAAGCCTTCCTCGCCCGCGTTAATGCCGCCCTGTTTCTCTCTCTCTCCTTGGCTAGCTGCGCTGGCAGAGATCACAGAGATGGTGGCACAGCTTCACGGTACGATGATCAAAATGGAGAATTTCCAGAAGCTGCATGAACTCAAGAAAGATTTGATTGGCATCGACAATCTTGTGATTCCTGGACGGGTAAGTGGCAGGGGTCTCCGATTGCGCTTGAGGAGCCTGCAAATTTGGAAGCCTTTGAACAGTAACCCTCCCACGTCAAATCGTCTTCCTTCACAAGTGTCTTCCATCGGCGATGGCTCCCTTCCACCTCCAGTAGGACTGTGGTTAAAATGTAGTGTGTTAGGATCAAGTGACCGTCGCCTCACGTTCTAAACCTCTCCCCATTGGTTGACTTATCCCCCCTAACCCACCTCCAACTGTATTCAGTGGAGGAGCCATGGTGGTGTTTGTGTTTGGCTACGAGCCACATGGTCAGCAGTTCAAAACCAGCCAGCAGCTCCTAGGGAAAAAGATTGGGCTTTCTAGTCTCGTGGTTATAGTGCTGTCATAGCATTGTCTATAGGTCTAGTGGCTCTCACCACTAGAGTAGATTCCGACTCTTAGCCACCTATAGGGCAGGACAGAACCAACCGCCCCTGTGGGTGTCCCTGGCTATAAATCTTCATAGAGCAGAAAGCCTCATCTTTCTCTTGTGGAGTAGCTGGTGGCCTGGAACTGCCAGCCCCGTGGTTAGCAGCCCAAAGTGGAACCCAGGGTATGCCAAGTCCAAATGCAGGTTCTTGGCTCTAGTTTCCTGGGTTCTCTCAGCTCCTAAGAGTTATAGTCTGTAGCTCCACCCGGTTTCTTCCCCTGCATTCTGCTCTTTTTGTAAGACATCACGCAGAAGCGATTCTGTTTCCTTCCTACTCTGCCTCATTAACATAACGAGAGAGACCCCTCTTGCCAAACAGGGTCAGCTTTACAGGCAGAGGGGTTAGGCTTGTACTATTAGGCATCGTTCAATCCATAAGGCTAATTTATAAAGGAGGACCAGGGTCTACACATTCTTTGGCTCTCAAGTGGCTCCCTGAGCCGTGGCTGTTAGAGCCGTGGCTGTTAGAGCTGTGGCTGTTAGAGCCGTGGCTGAAGGAGTGGGCCCTCGGCAGAAGATCCCTAAAAGAGAGCATATCCTTAGTGATGTGCCTAGTAGGTAGAAGGCAGGCTCTGATGTTTGTCTATACAGGATTTGAAAGCTAGAGATGTAAAGGTGAGCAGCTAGCCTCAGCAGGGCCTCCTCAGCCACCTGCAATCTAGCTCCAGGCATGCCCGCCAGGCACCGCTCCCACGCTTGGGTCAGAGGAAGATGGAGTCGGGGCCTAGAAGGCAGGATATATCCCCCACCCCACCCCACCCCCCATCCCCAGGGGGAATTGCTAGGTTATAAAGTAACTGTTCCAGGGAGGCCCTGTTAACTGCACCCCAGGGCTGAGGTGGCTGAGAGACAGCTGTCCAGGACTGGCCTGCACATGCTCAGTTGTCCCCATGCCCATTGTGGCAGCCATTGTGTCGATCCATCGCATTGCCGGCCTTCCTCTTTGTCGCTGCCCCTCCACTTCACCAAGCACGACGTCCTTCTCTAGCGACTGGTCTCTCCTGACGACATGTCCGAAGGAGGTGAGACGAAGCCCTGCCATCCTTGCCTCAAGGAGCACTCTGGTCTCCTCTCTTCCCTTTGACAGACCATGGTCCTTCGCACTCCTCCAGCACCGCCATCCAAATGCACGGATTTGATCAGGCAAAGGACGGAAGTGTGGCTGGACCTTAAAAACATTATGCGAACTGAAAGAAGGTAGATCCGAAAGACCCCACATTGCAGGACTCTGTCTGTCTGAGTCCAGGCTGGGTAGCCCTTCAATCGGAAGGTGGACGAGAGGTTGCCAGGGGCTAGGCATCACAGGGGAATGGAGAGTAACTGCTTCAAGAGTGTGGCCTTTCCTTCTAGGCTGATGGGACTGTTCTGGAAGAAGGTGGTAGTGATGTTAACACACAGTACTGTGAGTGGCACGTACTGCACCACAGAAGTCTGCAGTCTGAGGAAACAGCAGGGGATGCAGAGTGAGCGCCAAAGACAGGCTTGCGCACTTGCTCTTTCACCTTGGAACACAGCGACTGCTCTCCACAGAGGTCAGCCTCGGAAAAGGGGCCTCGACCCATAAAACCAGGTGCCAGCAAGTCAACGCTGGCTGCAGCTAAGCCCAGGTGTGCCAGGGTAGAACTGGGCCTTTCAGTGCCTGCGATCTTTCAGAAGCAGAGCACCTTTCTTCCGAGGGCACCTCTGGGCTGCTTGCTACAAGGTCAGCAGTTCGAAACGACCAGCCGTTCCACTGAAACAGATGGGACTTCCATCTCGCACAGGGATGCAGTCTCGGCAACGCACAGGGGCAGCGCGACCCAGGTCGGTCGGGTTGCCGAGTCAGCAACGGCGGGCAGCAGTGAGTGTGTTCTCGGACCTCTCTGGAAGTAGCTGTTCGCGCCACTCGTACCTTCACCTGTCTGCAAAGTGCTCTCAAGGAACTCGGCATCCCAGCTTCCTTCTTGGAGAACCGGTTGGGGTTCTCGCCATCCCCCTCCCATGGGGTGTCCTGTACAGCCTGGTGGTGAAGCGACCTCGCATTGTCCTCAGAGAGGCCCCAGTGTGCTTTCCGCTCCACAGCACACAGCCTGGGCCGCCCTAGACAAGCTGCTTAAGTTAGTCCCTTCTGTTTGTTCAAGTTTTATTTGTATACTTTACACGCCATACAAGGTAGCCATTCAATCATATTAAGACTGTGCAATAGCCACTACTATTAATTTCAGAACATTTTCGTCTCCTGCTCATTGTTAGCTCCTCAGTCCCCGAATCCTCCCCAGCCATGCCCCATCCAATTACTGTCTCTATAGATCTGTCTATTCTGGATTTCATACACAGAAAGCCATACAAAATAGAACACAAGCACACAAAATTATACAGAACAAAAAATGAGTAGACACAAACTATAGAAGAACCCCAAAGAGAAAGCAGAAAATATTAAAAACGGAAACAATTTTAAAATGGGTCAAACGGGAGCTCAAGTGGATACGGTGTTTAACCTGACTACACTGCCATAATCGACTTTGAAACACTCCCTGTCTGGTAGCAAAGCTGTTCACATCCCTTGACGAGGGTCAGATAGTCACCGGAGACTTAACCCATGTGGGGGCCTATCAATGAATTGTGGGCTTCCACTGTTGCCATCGCCTTCTGCAAACCGGTTGTTCACAATTTAAGCTCTGACACTATTCCCGCCTCCAGATTTGGGTTTTATTATTTACAATCCTTGGATCACACAGGCTGGTGTGCTGCTTCCAAGCAGACTTAGCTGACGCCTACCTCCCTTAGATCGCTGCTTGTTTGAAGACTAGCTTTAAGACCCCAGGCACTATTTTATCTGCTGGGCACCTCTGGTTTCTTCACCACACTTTGCTAAAGCACCCATATTTTCAGGGATCTCTTCATGAGGGTGAGCAGAGCCATGCTGTAAGAACTAACGGTTCTTAGATTGGGGCTAGAATGAAGGGTGATCCCTAAGTCCATTCAGATATCTTTGTCTCTGTGGCTCTGGCTCATTGTAGAGACTTCTTTATAACTTTAGGTTAAAGAATACTATCAATCATCCCCCTGGGAACATCAGAGAACTCTATTGATAGTGTCATTAACTTAGCCAATGGTATAGAACAGGGGTCCTCAAACTTTTTAAACAGGGGACAAGTTCCCTGTCCCTCAGACCCATTGGTGAGCCGGACTATAGTTTAAAAAAAAAAACTATGAACAAATTCCTATGCACACTGCATACATATCTTATTTTGAAGTAAAAAGCAAACGGGGCAAAAACACCCGGCGGGCTGGATAAATGTCCTTGGTGGGCCGCATGTGGCCCCTGGGCCGTAGTTTGAGGATGCCTGATATAGAATTTAAAACACTGTGGAGAGAAGGAAACTATAGACCAGTGGTTCTCCACCTTCCTAATGCCACGGCCCTTTCATACAGTTCCTCATGCTGTGGTGACCCCCCAACCATAACATTATTTTCGTTGCTACTTCATCACTGTCATTTTGCTACTGTTGATTCGGGCGACCCCTGTGAAAGGGTCATTCGACCCCTAAAGGGGTCGCGACCCACAGGTGGAGAACTGCTGCTATAGAAGGCTGTCTTCAGGCTACAGTACATGAATTGTTGACGTATACCGCTTAAACTCGTGTGTGACTGGCCACTATGGACACAGACAGTGGGGCTTGGTGATAGGGCCGGCACGTGGACCAGCTCCTAGAAAGAAGGGAATGATGCTTAGAGGCAACATGGCAGAGCGGCTGGTGCACGGCACGCACTGAGGAAACACGGGAGTTTCGAAAGGTTTATGGGCAGTTTTTGAAGCGCCCCTCATACTCATTCTAACTTCTCTCATCTTTGCCATGAAAAGGCCCTGGCGTGCAGTCAGGAGCCAGGTCCGGGTGCCCTCGGCAAACTCCTGCCTCCTTTTCTCCTCAGGAGTTCATTCGCCTGGGAAGCCTCGGCAAGCTCTCGGGGAAGGGGCTCCAGCAGCGCATGTTTTTCTTGGTAAGTGGTGGGCCGGCGTGTCCTCCCGTGATCCAGCACAGCACATGGCCCGAGCGGTGAGGGAGGGTCCCCGTCCTGGACGGCAGGAGGAGTCCCGCGGCAGTGCCGGGGTACAGGAAAGAGTTCTGAGAGCATGCGACTGCTCCCCTGGTGTGCTGGGGCGGCCTTCACCGCAGCCTGCACCTCTCCTTGCGCTCTAGTTCAACGACGTCTTGCTGTACACAAGCCGAGGGCTGACTGCCTCCAATCAGTTCAAAGTCCACGGGCAGCTCCCCCTCTACGGCATGACTGTGAGTATGTGTGAGCACCAGCCCAGCCCTTTCCCTCGAGCTGCCTTTACCCGGTTAACCCATTCAGTCACGGGTGCATGCACGCGTGCAGCTGCACATCTAGTCATCTACACGGGGGCTTCATGAAGAGGTTCACGGGAAATGGCCACGGTCTTTTGCTCTCATATGTCCGGCGAGTTGTGAAGTCCTTTTGTTTTTAATGAAGCACGCTGGGACACAGTTACAGACCGTGCCTTGTGGGGCTGGTTTCGGGCTGGGAGGACGAGGATGACAGTCTCCTGGGACATCTTGATGAAGTGACACTGGAGGTGACAGAGTCATGTCCCACAGCCTACTTTGGTGAATTGTGCCTTTGACGGTCGCCATTCATCCCGACCAAGGAGAGAGCAAGAGACCCAAGGCTCAATGGGGCTGAGTGTGTATCCCAGGTTCCCAAACTTCTTTGGCCTGCCAACCTCTTTTCAGGCAAAACGATTCCTCAGAGCCCTCCTAGGAATTGAAAATGTTTGTACTAGGGCCCAGAATCCAGGATCTGCGTCCACAGCGCTGCGGATAGCTCCAATTCCTGCTCCCCCGGAGCTGGATTAAGAGTCCGCTGTGGGAAGCACTGGTCTCCACCACACAACTCTGAGACGAGATGGCCTGGGCAGTGCCTGGCTGCCCCATCGGACCAGTGCCATGATCCATGGCACCAAAATGGGAGCTGTACCCTCAAATCCATAAAATCAATTAAGACCAAAGCGAGACCCTGTGGGCTGGTTGAGGCTCCCCAAGACTACTGTCCAGAGACTAACAAACCTTGAATCCTAACTCACCCCCAAGGTCATCTTTTAGTTAAATAACGGATGGGTGCAAAAATACTATCACCAGCAAGTACTGCGTGCCCTTCAAAAAAATCACCTGCATGAGACCAGTCAACCATTGAAGATAGAGACAAAAACACTTAGGGGAGAGACACAGGTGAGTGGGCATGGCCTAACTAGACCAGAGGCACTGTTACATGCTCGCGGCATGTAAAGAATACAGCCAGTGGCACTGAACAATTGGTGTCAAGACCACCAAGTGGGGACCTAAACTGCTGTGTCATCCTCCACTGACAAGGCAAGTGAACTTCGATTCAAACACATGCAGGCGCACACGGCCGCCTCGTGCATGTATCAGTAGGGCCGGGCTCCATTGGGCTTTGGCAACTGGCCACACCACCTTTCTTCTGAGGCACTTCTGGAGGGTCTCGAACCCCCAACAGAAGCACAGTCACCATCTGTAAATGATCGATCTAAACAACCGGAGAGCAGCCTCGTCTCGTCTCCGCCCCAGGCTGGGTTCCAGGTGGCCTGTCAGCAGACACCGCTCCCCGGTTGCTGCTTCAGAGAAGGGAGCTCTGGGCTCTGCCAAGAACATTCCACGTGTGGGGGCCCAGCCCGCCCCCCCTTCTTCCTGGGAGCCTTCTCCACCCCCAGGCGAGGCCTCCCCTCCCCCACCCCCCAGCGGAAAGCTGAGGGCCTTGCCTGCCGCAGGTCCCTCGGCGCTCCCTGCCCCCCCCAGCCCCCGCCACTGCGAATGCTTGTTCCCCGCAGATCGAGGAAAGTGAGGACGAGTGGGGGGTGCCCCACTGCCTTACCCTCCGGGGCCAGCGCCAGTCCATCATCGTGGCCGCCAGGTAATCCCGGACTGCCGCGCCCCACCTTTCCCGGCTCCTGGCGTGGTCTGAAAGCCTGACCGCCTCTCTGCCCGCAGCTCCCGGTCGGAGATGGAGAAGTGGGTCGAGGACCTCCAGATGGCCATTGACTTGGCAGAGAAAAGCAGCGGGCCCAGCCCGGAGCTACTGGCCGGCAGCCCCCCTGACAACAGTGAGTGCCGGGGTTACCCAGGAAGGCGCCACGGGGCGGCTTCAGATCCGGTTCTTCTCGTACACATTTGCGTATCAAGGTCAAGTCCAAGCGGTAAGGCAGTGGGAGGGATGTCACCTTTTGTCAGCCAGCCCTGCCGCTTGTGATACTGGACGTCCCCTCCGGGGGCCCAAACACTGGCAGAGCAGCCTGGGGGTGCCCCCACAGGAGCAGATGCTGGGGGCTCTGGGACACAGCTGCCTGTTAGTCTGATTCCTACTTGGCCCGCTTGAGACTCCCTCAGCCCCTCCAGACCCCGTCACCCCGGCAAAGCGCTGCTGTGCTCCCCTTCCGCAGAGTCCCCGGATGAGGGCACCACCGCTGACCAGGAGTCGGAGGACGACCTCAGCGCCTCGCGCACGTCGCTGGAGCGCCAGGCCCCGCACCGCGGCAACACCATGGTGCACGTGTGCTGGCACCGCAATACCAGCGTGTCCATGGTGGACTTCAGCATCGCCGTGGAGGTACAGCCAGCAAGGGCAGGCAGGCGGGACACAGTCATCATCCTGGGTGTGTGCCAGACAGGGTAGCGTAGCCCCTCGGCATGACCACGAGGCTAGCCATTCAGGGTAGCAAGGCACAGCTGCTGCCCTCTCTGAAATGCAAACCCATAGCCTCTCCTGCATTCCATCCTTCCGGCCAGATGGAGTCGCTCCTGAGCCCCTTATTGCCCAGTCCAACCCATGGCGACCTTACCCAGTGTGAGGCTTTTAAAGAGCCCTCAGTGATGGTCAACTGCCAGCCCATTCTCCTGAGCAGCCCCCGGGTGGCTCCTAAGCCCCAATTTTGGGATCCACGGGGGCCACTTCACTTTGAAGAGTGGTCATTTCCATTTTCCATTCCTCCCTCCGTTCTCATCCAGTTAGAGGGCAGGGCAGACTGTTCACACAGCGCACGTGGGCACCCCCCACCAGTCGGCGTTGCCTGGTCTGTTCTGACCCAGTACGAGTCTGTAGGACAGAGACGGACTACCCCAGAGGGTCTCCAAAGCGGTCTGGGCAAGCCGACTGCCTCGTCTCCCTCCTGCGGAGGGAGCACGCTGTGGGTCCGAACAGGCCGGCTCTCTGCTCAGTGGGTTGGGGACCGAGTGTGCACAGGCCCCTCCCGTCAGACTCCAGCAGTTTGAGGGTCAAGGTGTTTCAGACAACATCACCAAAACACAACTTTATTTTCATTCCCACACCCACCCATAGCAGCAGCCTTCCTTAGGAGGGAGGGGGCTTCAAACACAATCCCGTGTTTCATTCAGTTTGCCACATGCTTTGGAAGCCCCTCCTAAAGGCATACACACACGCTGTTGGGAAACAGGCAGTGGCTGTCCGGTGGGAGCGTCCTCTGCCTCCCATGGGGCGGTTCTAAGCGTACCCCGTGCGAACGGCCCGCCTGCCCGTGAGGCTTGAGTGTTGCTCTGAAGCTGAACAGGTTTGGGCACAAGGCCCAGAGCAAGAGGCGCTCGCAAAGATGGCCTGGCAGCCTCCTGCGCCAGTCAGCAAGTGAAAGCTCTGAGGATCAGTCTAGGCCGGTGGTGCTCGACCTTCCTCGGCCGCAGCTCTTTCATGCAGCGCCTCGTGTTGGGACCACCCCCACCCCAAACCAATTATTTTCCGTGCTACTTCTTAACTGTCCTCTTGCTGCTGTTCAACCCACAGGTTGAGAACCGCTGGTCTAGTCAGATCCAGCGTGCATGAGGCTAACTCGGCCCCTAGACTCAAGCTGGCAGCCTAATCTTGGTCACCCTTGAGTGGGTGTGCCCTCCCTGGGCTCTCCTTCAGGGAAACAGTCTACTACTGTCCTTATCAGAAGGGAGCGGGCCCTCCCTAGGGCGGGGCAGACTACGCAGTCTGGTGGTTCTCATGGCTGATAAGGGAGAATAGCCTCTGATCTGCAAGTGTACCGTCACTGACACCGTGTAGCAAGCAGCTCTTCGGTTTGGCACGTATGTGGGGTGGACAACTTGGGCGAAAGCGTGTGCTTCCCACAGGCCTAGTCACTGGCCTCCCAACACGGAGGGAGGGGCTGTGGAGGCTCCGCGAGGGTTTGCGTCTGCCTCTGGTCAGGCGTCCCGGGGGCGATAGTGGGTCACGAGTTGGGCTGCCGACAGCAAGCACAGCAGTCCGAGACCCCAGCTGCTGCACAGGAAAAGGAAGAGGTGCTCTACTCCCGTAAGGAGCTACGGCCTCAGAATCTCACAGGGGCCGCTCTTCTCCTTCCTGTGGGGTCACTGTGGGTCGGAACCCACTCCATGGGGCGTGAGCTCGCGTGCTATGCTCTTGGCATCCCTCCAGTGGTGTCCCCGTGCCAGCATTACTCCGGCTCTCTGCCCGAGCCCGCCCTCCAGCACCCAGGGCAGCTGTGGAGTTGTATAAGAACAGGTGTCTGTTGGAGAGCCGTCCTACTGCTGGGCGGGGCCGTGAGGAAAGGGCAGGATGCAGTCTGCTGCACAGGGGCGGCAGAGTTGGCCTGGGCTCACTAGAGGGCGGGCTGGAGCTGTGCAAGCTGGAGGCAACCTAGTGACTTGAAAATGAGGCCAGTTGGCCTTCCGTGGGGTGTGTGGGCCACCACATAGCGTTGGAGCGTCCCCGTGTGCTTGTGTTTCAGAATCAGTTGTCTGGGAACCTGCTGAGGAAGTTCAAAAACAGCAACGGGTGGCAGAAGCTGTGGGTGGTGTTCACCAACTTCTGCCTCTTCTTCTACAAATCACACCAGGTGGGTGCTGGTGCACACCATGTGGGTGGCAGAGCTGGGAAGTGGGGGGCGGGCCTTGGCATCGGGAAAACCGTAGAGCCCCCGCCCTACATGGAGACCTTTGCCAAGGCCTCCCAGGGCTGGGGCTGCTGAGCCAGGGACAGGAGCCACCGGACACTTGCCACAGACCGGCGGAGCAAGGCCTTGCTTACCAAAGACCCACATCTCCCTAAACGGGGGCTGGCACGATCCCCTTGCCAAAGGGCCTTGTCTCCCATTGGATAAAGGGGACACGGGCGTCACTTACTTGATGGCTCACATCCTGGCCAGGACCCCGTCTGGACCGCAGTGAGCGGCCAAGCCTACTTGCAGGCCCAGAGCCTCTGCTCCCCAAAAGGCAGGCAGCCAGGCTCTGTGTCTTGAGGCCGCGTCTCCAAAGCCCACTCTGTCCCCGCTCCAGGACAATCATCCCCTCGCCAGCCTGCCTCTGCTGGGATACTCACTCACCATTCCCTCCGAGTCAGAGAACATCCACAAAGACTACGTGTTCAAGCTGCACTTCAAGTCCCACGTGTACTACTTCAGGGCTGAGAGTGAATACACGTTTGAGAGGTAGGTGTGTTCCTGCCCTCCGTGACGGGCAGTGTCCCCCAGAGCCACCGAGGTCCCAGGCTGTCCCGGCTCATGGCTCATGTTCGAGGGCCTCCTCACAGAGCTGCGGCTGCAGACAGTGCAGGACCAAGCACACCTCGGTCGTCAGAGGTGACCGCGGTCTATCGGTTCCCTCAGTCCCAACCAGCCAGTAACTAACATGCACACACCACGCACATACACACACCTCTCAGCTCACACCATTCCCAAAGCATGGTGACCACGCCGCCCGCCCCAGAGCGTGTTCTGGCCAGGCCTGTTCCCAGAGTGCCGACCCGCGCGTTAGGAGCAGTGCTGCAGTGCGGTTTCCACGAGCGTGCTGTGCACACACACCAGAGCAGGGGACGCCGTGCTGGCCTGTAGGTGCCTCAGCCCAGGGACAGCCTCGTCACAGCAGTCATAAAGCCAAGCTCTCGAGCACTTACCCAACGAACAGTCTGCCGGGGCTCAATAATACTCCCAAGTGGACTGTGGGCAAAGGGTTACGTTTCTCCAAGGTTACGGTCTTGTTCATGACAAGGGGCTTCTTGGTGTGGCCTTAGACCAGGGGCTCATTTGGATACTGAGAACGTTGTTTGCCAGCCATACAGAATTATCATTGAAAGATCAGCCTGAATTGGGTCAAACATTTAACTCATCCCTAATCCGATGGCTGGAATGGCGGCTTCGGTGAGGTGTGGGATATGAGCAGGTGTTGAGGATTTCCGGGCCTTAACATGGCCCACGGGCTGGACGTTCCTCGCCCATTTTAAATGGTTAGACAGACAACCTGCCTGGTGTCTTGAATGGTAAAATCCAAGAGTAGTCATTGTCTTTGTTAACCAAAAAATAGAAGCAAAATGATGCAGGCCTTCGGGTTCACCTGCCCAGCGCGAGTGTCCCTGGAGACAAGGTCCCTTTCTAAGTCCTTTATTGCTGCTACGGGCATCAGAGTGAAGCCACTGGGCGGGGGACAGCGAGGGGTCCTGGCAACTACTCTCTAGACTGACGGAACAGTAGCTATCAATCAGGTGGGCCAGGCCTCCATTGGGAGAGAAGCCCCCTGGCCAGTGTTTGCTCTGGGCCCCTCTCCTGGAGCCATGGAGACGGAGCCCCAGTGGGTTTCCCTCGGGCTGGGCTGGGCCGGCAGCAGAAGGAACGCAGGGGTAGGGCGCATAGCCTCCCCAAAGTCTAAAAGGCCCACCCCGAACCAGGCCCGAGAGCGTACTCTCAGTGCATGCCCTGCAGACTGGTCAAAGCAGCCCAGAGGATAGTTCTCCCCTTGTGCTCTCAGAGCGTCAGCTGGAACTTGCAGCGTGACCTAGCCCAGCCAGCATCCTGAGAGTGGTGCAAGGGCGGTTTAGCCTCAGGGCAAGAAGCTCCGCATGTGCCCCGGGCCAGCAGGTGTAGCCCCAAGTTTCTCAGCCAGACACACACCAGGAGGGGTTATAGCCTCTCGAGGGGACAGGCGGGCTCTCAGTACGCTCCTCTGTTCTAGGTGGATGGAGGTGATCCGAAGCGCCACCAGCTCGGCGGAACGCACCCATGTCTTCAGTCAGAAAGAATCTCATGTGTATTGATGCTGGTTTCCCAGGAGACCCCGACTTCCATATCATTGGAGCCTAGTAAAATTCACCCCTTCTGAAAAATCAGAAACCCGGTCTCCCAGCTGCCCGCCCGCCCGCTCTCATCCGTCCCCGAGACCGTTTCCCACTTTGCCCCCTGCCCGCTGGCCTCCTCTGAAAGCATCCTGCCTCCGGTCTGTGTCTCACTCTCTTAGGGGGCTGTGGTGGTTTTTCAGGTTCGGGTTTGTTTTTTTAAAAAGCTTGTGCCAGTATTAAAGCACTGTCATTACTATAGTGCCAAATGACACTTCCCCCTCCACGCCAGCACCGTCAGAGCAGCGCAAACACGTCCGTTCAACCGCAGACAGGGCAGGCGCCCTCCTCTTTCTTAAGGAACTTTTTATTATTTGGGTCTAGCCAGGCTGTTGCACTTGAACAAATGGAATAGGCATTTTTCCAGCAACTGCAATACACACACGACTCAGTCTTAAAGCAAATGAGATCACTTTCAGATTTCATTTTCTCCCAGTCTTTCTACTTTTATAATAATAGCCGAGCAGGGGCCGCCTGCAGCGTGGCAAGTGAGCCGTGCTCCCCCCCCCACCCCTTGGCACAAGTTGACCAAATCGCTCGGGTGGTGACTACGAAGGCGTAGCAAACATGCGGTGCGGTGGTCTGGCCGTCGCCGTCCTGTGAGTGGTGTAGACGGTGGGAAGATAGTAAGCCGTGGTGTTTTGCTGTTTGTTTCACGAGCATGGGAAAAACAATCTGTATGTCATTAATCAGGGCCATTTGTGATCTGTCCCGTTACGGAGAGTTGTTGTGAGTTTATGTGGATGCAGAAACACTATACAGTAATGGTACGTAGTCCCCCAGGCGCCCGCTCTCATACCCCTTCCCTACTGCAACTGTGGTTTCAAAGTGCGCATTTATAGTAGTGTACATTGTGCGTCTTCAAAAACCGACATTCTCTTTTTATACTACCCCCCTCCCCCGCCCCCCCTGGCATGGGGTTACCAACAGTGTGACAGACAGTGCACAACCTCGGCCATCAGATGACACCGGGGACTTGTTTTCCGACAAGGGTTTGGGCCCACGAGTCGAAAACCATTTGCCTCTTCTCCCTGGTGCCGGGTGGGGGTGGCTGCTATTCCCGTAGGACTGAAGGTCTTTTCTAAAGCAAGTCTGAGCACAAGCCAGGAGGGAGAGGCCAACTCCACAGTGCTCGCCCGCGGCGCAGAGCTGGCGGCTTGTTCATCATTTGCCTTACAATTATGTACCAAGATGGTTTGAGTAGTAACAAACGGGAATAAAAATACCTCACGCCGCAAACCAGCATACTGAAGTTTTAAGGCAAAACAAGCCACTCTTGTCTCTCGTCGTTATTTCTGTGTGTGTGTGTGTGTGTGTGTGTCTGTGTGTGTGTGTGTGTCTCTGTGGGCCAACACGCACCAAGGTCAGGAGAGCCGTCAGGAAAATATTTCTCGTCTTCATAGCTACGGGGGTAAGCACGTCCCTAGTGGACGGGACAGTGAGCGGCTGACGAAGGCCAGCAACGCTCGCATGCTTGTGACAAGGCAGGCCCTGCTCACCACAGGGACCCCCTGGGTAAGACAACCCCCCAGGGGACGTGATGCCATGTACTTGGCAGGCTAGGGTGTGGCAGTCACCTCTAGGTCTCCTTAAAGACTTGGGGATGCAGTACTGCCCTTGGTTAGTTCTGAACGATTCGGCACCACTGGTAGACATGAGTGGCTCTGATCTGTGCCCAGGGCCTTGTTTCCCTGTCTGCGAAACTAGAGCCCACCAGACCCCAGAGGAGTGCTCACCCTGGCCTGGTTGCTACTTGCCCCCCTTTCCTACAAAGTGGTCTCCCTATCAAGCTACACTCGCAAAAGTCTCCTTAAAAGCCCCTTCTCTCTAAAGGGATGTGGACCGTCTTGACATTGTCTCTGCTCCCAGTGCTGCTGGAACAACGGACACACCCCACAGGCAGCTCACCGTGAAGAACACGGTTGTGTATTTGCCCACGTCAGGCTGGAAGTCCGGATTCGAGGGGCTGTGGCCAGATTGTGCGAAGTCCAAGAGAGAACACCTCTATTTCCAGAGAGTCCTCTTTACGAGGGGCCAGCCCACTCAGCACGGCCCCCTGCTGAAAACCCAAGGAAGCAGGCACCTCATCTTCTCCAGCAGCAGCGTGGGTTTGAACTGCTCACCTCTTGGTTAGCGGCGAAACACTTTAAACGCTGGTGCTGCCAGGGCTATTTCTAGGTACAGGGTTCGGATTTCCGCACATTCGTGGTGCTGGCTCACCGCCCCGTGTCGGTGTCGATGCCGAGGCTTAGTGCCCTGCACGTTCCCGAGCCTGTGACTGGGCCACAGTGAAAAGCCTCATCTTTCTGAAGCAGAGCGGCTAGTGGTTTCAAACTGCTGACAGTGGGGTTAGCAGCCCGACCTGTCACCGCCACGGCAATCCATGGCGTCGGGTACTTACGACGGGGCTTTAGGGGTCTCCCCCTGTGCACACACAAGAAAACAGAGTTAAAACAGTGCGGGTAACTTGGACTCTGCCCAAGCTGCCAGAACGGCCGGGGTTTCAGACACCCCTCCACACACAAGCACAGCATCCCAGACAAGCCTCTCTGACCAGTGGAGCACGTGGCGCCTGTAATGCCCTCCCCACGTGCGGCCATGTTCATAGCAAAGGAGAGAAATCCCAGAGTGCTTTCAGACAACATACAAAGGATCAAAACACTACACGGCTGGCCTGGACATGACAAGGCAGGAATGCTGGTGTCCAGGATGTGGGCCTTCGCTCCGTCACAAAGGCGAGGCGAGCCCACAAGCCAGTCTCGAGGGGCCGGCAACGAGTCACCACGCCAGCAGACCCACCCCAGGCGGTGCCGACAGTGAGAAAAGTGTAGACCACGACTCCTCTCTGAAAGAGCCAGACGGACCGGGCCCAGAGACTAGCACAGGCTTACTTGGCCGACCACCCTCCTTTCCAGAGAAGATGTTAGTCAGTTCCTCCACCCTCCCACCTGTCAATTAGAAACCTACAGTCCATCATTCAGGATAAAGTGCAGGTATCCTTCGGCTGACCCCCAGGGGGCAGTGTCACCCACATTGGAAAACGCTGGACTAGAATCCCCCCAACATATCCTTTGTACAGGAAAGCAAAATCCAAACCTCCCCCTCCCCGCAGAAGTGTCATCTCCAGGAGATGCTTCTAAAACTCAAGAGGAAGCTGCCGATTCCCACAGGAGGCCTCCCGCCTGCAGAGTATCTGGTACCACACCGACGTGCTTCTGTGGGATCCGGTTCCCTGGCAGCATAACCCTAGCCACTTGTACTTGAGACTGGCTTCGGCATCCCAAGTTTGGTCTCACAGTCCACTGGTCAACTTGAAAAACTCTAAAAGGAGCCCCGGGGGGTGGGGGGTATAGTGGTTACATGTTAGGGTGCAATCCACAAAGAAAAGCCGTTTGAAACCACCAGCTGCTCCTGGGGAGAAAGATGAGGCTTCCTCCTCCCGTAAAGAGTCGTCTCAGAAACCCAGGCAGGGCAGTTCTACCCTGCCGTTAGCGTTGCTATGCATTGCCACTGACGAGATGGCACCGAATTTGAGTTTTCGTTAAGTCCAAAACCTGTCTGTTGGCTTCCTTAACCTTAGACAAGCAGCAAACGCTGGACAACATGGACTCATTTCTGTAAGGAATTCTTTCTCCCACACTGAGCAAACGTTATCTTTGGTTTATGCCTCACTCAAAACACTGCCATCGAGTGGATTCCGACTCACAGTGACCCTGTAAGACAAGGTGTAAGTGCCCTGCGGGTTTTTAAGTGTAACTATGGGAGAAGAAAGCCTCATCACTGCCAAACACAAAAGTCTCTAGAAACAAAATATCCTCACATTTCATCATTTCAAGTTAATTCTTACTCCAAAATAACGCATTCAGTAAGCAATTCGATTCTTCAGGTCAAAATGTATCCCTTCTAGAAGTGAACACTTGGACCCAAACCTACTTCTAACACCAGATTCAGGATTAACTCAAAGCCAAGCTCACAGCCGTCAATTCTGACGGCGGCAACCCTACAGGAGGGAAGAGAACTACCCCTGTGGGTTTCCAAGCCTGTAACCTTTGAGAGCGGACAGCCTCTTTCTCTCAGAGGCTGATGGGTTTGAACTGCCGACCCTGTGGTTAGTAGCCCAGCAGGTACCTCAGGTTACCTCTTTAACTCCTCGATCTTGCCATCTCACACTTTTCTGGCCCAGCCTCAGCCCTCTCCCCTGTAAGTTTGCAGGCCGCTCGGCCGGCAGATGCTCTCCCTCCATCTGGAATGCCCACCAGTCCTTGTCTCCTCCCCCAAGGACAGACACTGCAACCACGAGGAGAGGAGGTGCCCGAACTGTTCCACGGGATCTCGAGACCATTCACAGGATGCCAAGTTCTACTAGGCCGTCGGGAAGGGCTACCTGACCACTTATTCCCCGTGCCAGAAACCAACCCATTGCGCTTCCAGGCCAGTGAGACTGCGGCAGGCCCAGGAAAACGCAGCCACCCCTCCTGACAGCCTCAGAGACACGGGCTGCTTAAAAGGGAAAAAGAACGAAAGGAGGGAGGGAGGGAGGAAGGGAGAAAGAACTACCTGTAAACAAGGTCCCGGGACGATGTAAAGCAACGTTTACACAGTAGCAGCCTCCAGCCACATTTTCTCAAGGACCAGTTTTCTAAAAAGTTCCATAGGAAGCGGCTTGGAGTCAGCATGCTGAACCGGGCACCTGGTCCTGTCCTCTGGCTTGTCCCGCACTCTTGCACACGCACACCAGCACACACACGCACGTCTCTGCAGGCGCACTTGGCCGTGAAGGCACATCAAGCAGTTTGCCGAGTGAGTGTGTTATAAAATTTATTGGTGTGAGCATTCAGCCATTGGAGGTGGGGAGGGTGGTACGCAGATCTGGCGACAAGGTTCAACAGATGGAGGGTGGTACAGACCAGGACAGCACGCTGGCGCGGGCGGGCAGGGCACGACTCAAAACGAACGGTAAGGGCGCACGTGTCATCGGGGAGGGACTGAAAAGTAATAATTTAAAGCTTCAGGAGGCAAGATAGGTTCTAATTTAAAATGCTAAGAAATAGTACCATCAATGAAAAAACAAAACAATAATAATAATGAAAGGAAGTCAACCTCTAAGTGTACCAAACGGGAGGGGGGAGGACAAACGAGGAAAATTTGCCTCTGTTGAGGTACAAACAGGAGTTTTCCATATGAGGGGCATTAATAATTATTAATGGCAAACCCTACAAATACAAAATAAAACCCAAATCACTGGTCACATAATTCAAAATTTACATGTTTAATAAAGGCAAGGCAATAGACTCAAGTTATGGCCTGTCAAATATTTACTCCACTGACTTTATCTACAGAAGCACTTGGCCGATGTGCACAGTGATGCTCACGCACGCCAGAGGGTCTGTAAAAACGACACTATATACAAGTCTGTGCAGCGATCCACCAGCCGCCTCCCGCGGGCGCCCCCACGTAAAGCAGGGTCCCTGAGGGTTCATTCCGCCAGCTGCCCTGGCACCGTCCCAGACAGACATTTCCGGGTGGGTTTCTGTTGGTAACGACACTTTCCTTGAATGTGTGCACTGTGGGTACAATTAAGAACAATAAAACCCGATGGTCGCTTCAAGGAGCCGGCCCTCTGCCCCTCGCGAGTCTTCATCCGGCGGGGACGTGCCTGTCCCCAAGGCGCCGAGGCTTCGGGGCGCCCTGCAGCGCGCGCCTCTTCTGCGGGGGCTGCAAGGGGCTCTCGTTGACTTTTTAAAAAGGAGAAGGAAGGAAAGAAGGAAAACAAAACAAAAACCCTCATCCGCCCAGGAAATTTCAATGGGATGAAGTTCCTCCACCACTTAGAGAGTATCTGAGGAGGGGGGAGAGAGAGAGAGAGAGAGAAAGGTTAGTGAACATCACGTCTGCCCCGTGCACCATTCAAGCAGCACTGTACACGGAAGCACACTGTAAATCTGTAACACAAGCTGAAAAATCTCTCCTCGGCGGCATCACGAGCTTCCAGAGAGGCCCACAGTGCACTGCTGACGCAGACAGGAGTGCGGGAAACCCTTTCTGGTGGCACAAGGACCACCAGGGCTATCCTGCTGCATCCACTTCGTAGGGCGGTCTTAGCAATGCGTTCCAAAAGAAGGAACAAGCCATGGTTTCCACACAAATGTCTCCTGGGTCTTTTGTCATGAGAACAAACGGGAAGTAAGTCCAAGAGCCGAGAAGCAGTTAAACAGAATGCAGCCAATGGAAAGATTGATTTAGAGCTTCCCTACATCATGAAGCATGAGGAAAATACGCACAAGTTTGTGTGCACACAAACCTACATGTGCACTATGATTTGCAGATGTTTTAAAAAATGGAGTAAGCTAATGACTTATACTTAACTATCAAAGGAAAGGCCCAGAGGAGATGACGGCTGGGCCAGTGGCAACATCATGACTAACACCTTCTATTTTCCAAGAGTTCTACAGCACTGTCAGAACTTAGAGGCATCCTGGTGGGTCCGTGTCGGGCTGCTAACTGCCAGGTCGGGGATCAAGCCCAGCAGCCACTCTGTGGAAGGAAGACGAGGCTGCCTGCTTCTGTGACGTGTGCTCGGTCTAAAGGGTCTCTGCGTCGACTGACACGATGGCGGTGGGTTTGTTTGTTTGTTTCTCACTCACTCACTGCCATGGAGTCAGTTCTGACCCACGGAGACCCGGCCTCTTTAGAGGAACAGAAAGTCCTCTCTTTCCTAGATGGAGTGGCTGGCGTTTTCCAACCGCCGACTGCCGTCTGCAATGCAGAGCCCACCCAGTACCAGGGCACCCAGGATGGAGTGGTCGCTGGTGGCCAGGAGACAGCTGAGGAGGCGAAGCAATGGGCTCATCTGAAACACGCAGCCTGGAGCTCCTCTTTCATAGACTCCAAAATGCCTGGCTCCTCTGGAGAGCAATGATGGCTTAAAAGCCTCTTGAAAAACAGGATTTATAGGGAGGGAGGGGAAATGGGCAGCTGATATTAGGGGCTAGAGTAGAAGGCAAATGTTTTGAGAATGATGAGGGCAGCGAATGTACATATGTGCTTGACACAATGGATGGATGTATGGATTGTGATAAGAATTGTACGAGCCCCTAATAAAATAATTTTTTAAAAAAGAAAAGAAAAACGGGCTTTAGCCGAAATCCTGAGACTCCAATCACAAGAAAGAGAAATGACTAACTCATGGGGGGGAATTGTCACACAGGAATTCAAACTAAGACCTACAGAGACTCTGGAAGCATGTGAGCTAGAAGCTGGCACCTGGTTGTTGTTTTTTTTCTAACTTGACGAGTTTGAGCACAAGCTGGTAAAAAGCCTAAGCCCTGGCTGCGGTGGCCTGGCACCAGCCTGGCATCGTTATCCGAGGTGGACACGCAAGAGCCTGAGGAACTTCAAAGAAGGCTGTGGCCTCCCTGCAAGGACAAGAGAGAACCTTCCTTACCCCAAGCACCGAGTCCCTTTAAAGGCCAGAGGAGCAGACATCAGAAAAGAGAAGAAACGAGAGACAGGGACAAAGAAACGGTGCCTGTCTCAAGTTCCGGTGTGCTAACATTGGCAAACACTGAGCACTGGATGTGGCAAATTCAAACTGAGCTAAGCTCTTACATGCAAAAGATACACCGGATTTGTAAAGGCTTTATCTCCACGCACATAAAGAATGCAACACACCTTAATTTTACACTGATTCCATATTGAGTTTAAATAATATTTTGGACAGACATACTGAGAATTTAATTAAGACTATTTTCACCTGTTACTTTTCATCTAAAAAAATTGTGGTAACAGCTTAAAATTATATTGGGATGCACATTGCATTTTCTGGGCTAAAGAGAGCTAGAAAAACAAGTGAGGGTAGGGGCTTGGTGGGCAATGCTCGTCAGGATTCTGTAAACATGGACAAGGCCCATGCAGGCTCCGCAGCGGTGTCAGCACTGCCACGCCAGCCGGGCTGACATGTGACATCCACAGTCCTAAGCGCAGCCACAAAAACTAAACCAACCCACAGTCCCTGCATCGCGTCTAAGCCGACCCGTAGTCCCCGTTCCCCCATGCCCCATAGGACAGAGTAGAACTGTCGCCCTTTGAGTTTCTGCAACTGTTTATGGGGGTAGAAAGCCCCACAAAAAAATCTCAAAAGAACCACCCTTTCTAGTCTAGGGATGCTTAACTGGCTCTTTTAAATGAGAGATAACTGACAGTAGAACAGGGCACGGAGAAGTGCCACCACTGCCTTTGAGAAACAGGAAACGGGCTAACGGGGCGCAATGTGGGGAGCCGTATGGAGGAACGCGCAATAGTCAGGCCACAACGCCAGCCCCGGCACGTACGGCGGCGAAGCTGCTGGAAATGCTGTGGCACATCCACACGCACCATGGCGTGAGCTGTCTGCGTGTGGGCCGGGCCGGTGAACTGCCCTTTCCATCATCACGCCCCACACTCCTGACCCGAGCCCAGGGCGGGGTGGGACAGGAAGCCTCCTGCAGGCTGGCATCAGCTGCCACCAATGGTTCTGGAACCAAGCGGAGGCCTGGGGGTGACCAGCAAAGGTGAAGAGCGCCCCAGATCCGCTCTCAGTTACTGCACGACGCTGACAGGTTTGGCCTGACTAGACACCTCTCTTGAAGGTACAAAACCCAACTGAGAATTACAGACATGTGGCTGAGCAATGGACTCTCCAGCTAACTGGGCTGCCCAGTGCAGGGCACGCAAACTCTGGAGTCACCCTGTTGGGGGCAGGGCACACCCCTCAGTGGCCTGGTCCACACCAGCGGCGTGCCAGAATGCAGAGTGCCAGGCCAGGCGGCTGGGTTCTGGCCCATGTGGAAACAGCCCAACCCCGAGGAAGGTCCGGGGAAGCAGTTACCTCTGGAGCCGCTGTACAAGCTGTGCCACCATGGTGTCGGATATGCCGGGGCAGGCCTCTTCAGCCAGGTAGATGGCCCCTCGCAGCTCCTCTATGGACCCCAGGTTGCCTCCGCACGCCTGGCTCTTCTCCTTCAACTGCAAAGACACAAACGAAGAACAGCATGAACTCATGCGCAGGACCCTAGCACAACCCTGCTCAGGCAGCCTGCGGGCCTGACCGCTCAGCTCTGCCTCAGGGCCACGTCGGCTTCCTGCCAAGGAACACTTATTTCTTCAGAACACTCTAAGAGCAATCTATCGAAAAACGGCCTACATTATCATCTTCTCTAGACAGGGAGAGAGCCCTATGACTTGGGCTGTGATCCACGAGGTCTGCAGTTCGAAACCACCAGCAGCTCCACGGAAAAAGAGGGGATTTCCTACTCCTGTGAAGAGGTCATCTCAGGGCCTCATAGGGGCATTTCTAAACTGTAAGTCGGCCTGGACTTGATGGCAGTAAGTTTGGCTCTTTGGGTTTACAGACCGGGAAAAATAACAGGCAGGTCAGCGAGGCTGCAGAAATGTACAGCCTTGGAAACCGTGGGGGGCGGGGCAGCTCCTCCCCGAGGGTCCCCGAGTCAGGAAGGAATCGGCATTAACGGAGGTTTGGTTTACACACAGAAACAACTAGCTTTCTGCAGGCCTCTGCAAAATCTGACCCTGGGGGCCTGACCCTTTGTGTGAGGGGCGTTCTTTCCTATGTCAACTGCACTGCTGCACCAGGAAAGCCACTGGACAGAAGTCCTTCCGCTCTGGTTCCAACACCGAAACTGCAGTGGGGTCGTCTGCAATGGAGCGCCTAATGCTAACGGCGTGGACCTTGGGCTCCACCCAGCAAACGGCCTTTCGGTCTGTTATCAACAGACGCTTGGCAAGTGAGAGGCAGCCCCGAACTCTGGGAATTACTTCGGTCCCTGCTGGCTAAGTCATGCAGGCATCTCAGCTCTTCAAGCTCACTGCCGGGGCCACTCCAAGTCCCTGCCTCACGGTGCAGCACGGCTCAGACCCCAATGCCTCAGCAAGAGCCCACTGCCGAGGGTCCCAGCCCAGCCCCTCGTTCTGGGCCGCCTCCTGAGCTCCCTTCTGTAGGACCAATAAGAAAGGTCTTACAAAACATCACGGGCTGCTGTGAAAACAGAACCTGGCTCGCTCTAAAAGCAATGGCTTCTCCCTCTCTCCTTCCAAATGTGGCCCATGGAGGAGCACCATGGAAGGCCGAGTCCCGGCCCGGGCCGGAGCCAGCTGCCAGGGCCATTTCCTCCCACACTTCCCAGAGCATTTGTTCCTTATGAACCTTCTTATCTTCACGTGTAGCACAGCTGACCTTGAGACTTGCTAGTGTGTTTGTCTAGGCCACCCAGACGCGTGTGCCATCTCCAGGACTGGGGTACTTCCAGGGACAGAGTGAGGGCTGTCAGCAGACCACAGCTCTCCCACCCATCTTCTGCAACTACTGGCTCCAACTGGCCCAGCAGAAAGCAGGCAGTTCCCCAGGGGCATTCCTGTGCCCTCAGGCTATGCTGGGTTGTGTGAGTGACCACACAGACCGACTCCCCATCCCTTATGATCTAACCTTTATGAGAATTAGAGCCCTGGCGGTGTAATGCATTACACATTGGGTTGCTCTCTACAAGGTCAGCAGTTCGAAACCACTAACCGCTCCAAGGTAAAAAAGAAAAACAAAACAGGCTTTCTATTGCTATACAGAGTTAAACTCACAGGGGCAGTTCTCCCCTGCCCCACAGGGCTGCTGAGTGTCGGCATCCACACACATGACGACAGCAAGCGAGTGAGGAGCATGGGAAAGCCACACACAGGACGCACTTGGAGCTCTGAGCTATTATGTACAAAGAAGAAGAACCAATAGGGGGAAAATGACTTCAGGGTGGGTGCTGAATGATGATTCACAAGCATTTCTTCATGTACCCAATAAAAAATAACTTTAGAACAAGTGTTCTTGTGTTAATGGAGTACTCGAGTTGAGGCCCATGTACATCTGTAACCTTTTTTTAATCTTAATTCTTGGCATATAGGTATGAGTACATAGTTCTATTTCCCTCTCGTTTTATATATATATAATTACATATGTGCATGCCTGCATTTAGACCTCTATAAATATCCTCTACCTCCTGGTTCTTTCCTCTATTTCCTTTTACTTTCCTCTTGTCCCACCATCATGTTCGGCCTTCATTCAGGTATAGTAATTCCTTGCTGCTACATTGCCCTTCATTAAGCCCCAGTAGGCATCCTACGACCTTCCCAACATGATTGCTGAAGACAAATGTGTGCATAAGCAAATGTGGTGAAGAAAGCTGATGGTGCCCAGCTATCAAAAGATATAGCATCTGGGGTCTTAAAGGCTTGAATATAAGCAAGCAGTCATCTAGCTCAGAAGCAACAAAGCCCACATGGAAGAAGCACACCAGCCTCTGTGATCATGAGGTGCCAATGGTATCAGGTATCAGGCATCTAAGACCCAGAATAAAACCATACCCAAGGTGAATGGGGTGGAGGAAATGGAGTGGAGACCCAATGCCCATCTGTAGACAATTGGACATCCCCTCACAGAGGGGTCACAGGGAAGAGATTAGCCAGTCAAGGTGCCGTATAGCACCGATGAAGCACACAACTTTTCTCTAGCTCTTTGGTGCTTCCTTCACCCCACTATCATGACCTCAATTCTATCTTACACATGGGATTAGACCAGAACATGCACACTGCTACAGATAAGAGCCTGCAACACAGGGAGTCCAGGATAGATAAACCCCTCGGGGCCAACAATGAGGGTAGAGATACCAGGAGGATTAGGGGAAGGTGGGGGGAGAAACGGGAAATTGATCACAAGGATCAACATATAACCCCCCTCCCAGGGGGACGAACAACAAAAGTGGGTGAGGGGCAACGGAGGACGATATAAGATATGGAAATAATAATCTATAACTTATCAAGGGTTCATGAGGGAGGGTGGGCGAGGGAGAGAAGGAGAAGAAATGGGGAGTCGATATCAGGGGCTCAAGTGGGAAGAGGAGGCTTTGAAAACGATGATGGCAACATATGTGTAAATGTGCTTGACACGCCGGATGAATGTATGGATATAAGAGGCCCCAATACAAGTATTTAAATAAATAGCTTTAGGCAAATGGGAGGCATGTCATTTTCTCCAATTGCCTGATTGATTCTATTAAACCAGAGGGCAAACCTCTGCATCCTGGCCCTCGGGACATCCTACACATCGGGCGTGGGTCCCCGCTGAGACCCTCCCCACGCGCAGAGCAGGGCAGAGTGCACTGAGCACAGGGTTCTCAGGGCTGGATCTCTCGGAAGCAGTCTGCCAGGCTTGTCCTCTGCCAGGCACCTCTGGTTGGGCTTGAACAGGCAACCTTTGGGCTAGTAATCGAGTGTTTAGCTGTTGAACCACTCAAGATCTGCGCACACTGGTGCCTAATGGCTCTACTTGAGTGAACGGCAGCTCAGGGCACTGGGAAGGAAGAGGGAAGTAACATATGGGGCACAGAGGGAAGCATTCAGGCTCCAGGGCCATCTGTTGCCTCCTTTAGGATATACCATCTGGACTCGAGTATAAGCCAAGGTTTTCAGCACATTTTTAATGCAGTTTCTGGGGTAAAATTAGGTGCCTCGGCGGATATTCGGGCCAGCTTAAACTCGAGCATATACGGTAAGCCTATTTCCACAGAGCAAGGACCTTCTGCTGGCCGTGGAGGATCTGGCCGCAGACTGTATGAAGAAGCCCCGTTGCAGTTAGAAATCACCCTGCTGCTACATGAAACCAGGCTGGGCCACTGACCCCACTCCAGCCAGCTGGCTTTCACGATCCCATTTCTAGGGATACCACATCCTCACAGGAGGGGCTCTCCACCCACCCCACCCCCAAAGTCAGCCAGTCAGGTGCCTTACCTCAGCAAATAAAGGAGAAATAATTGTAGATAAACACTGAGAGAAAGGCCTCTTTGGGATGTCTTTTACCTTTGGGAGAGGAAAAAAAGATTAGAAATAGCCAACATGTGTCCTCGTGTGTGCAACAGTTCAATGAACTTCAGACCTGGACTATCACGGCATAAAGCCCAGTCTCTGCCCCCATGCTGGCTGAGAGGGACCACAGTCTCATTTGCCATGACGGTAAAGCCCACGTGCTCTGGCGCCATGCAGAGATGCTGGCTCCGCGGCCGGGCCTGTGTGCGATGGAGGCAGGAGGGTGTGCACAGCGCAGCCGCCTCTCCCGAGGCTTTGGGAAGCCCCCTCCAAACATGCTGAGGGTCTCTGGTGGTATGGCAGACCACAGGGGTGGTTGCACCGGGTCCTCGAGTCGCCACGAGTCGGAACGGACTCGATGGCATGAGTTTGGAGCTGCGTCTTTCACAGCAGGGCCTGTAGGAGGCCGGGGGCCAGCCGACCGGTCCACGGAGTCCACGGAGCCTCACGCACGACAGCACCGCACTTCAAAAGCACAGCGTGTCATTTCACACACAGACAATGCGCCACCAGAGAATCGGGAGTGTCCTATGCGCCCAAACACAACACATCTATTTCAAAGGCCCTTAACGTTCACGTCGGCAGTGAGATGGAGAGTGAAACCGAGTCTCACAGGGCATCTCCCCAGACATGCCGAGGCCGGCGTCCAGCGCTGTGACCCCACAACAGGAAACTGTGATCAGACAGCAAGCTTTGAGGGCAGGCACGGGCCCTACAGAACCGGGGCCTGGGGAAGGCGCCCGCAGGGCCCGACCTCGTCGCTCCACTCCCCGCGCCCTGAAGTCCCGCCCGGGCGTCCTGTGAGACTCCTGCACTCGCGCTGCAGCTCCAGGGCCGACAATGTCCCCGCCGCCTGTCACCCTCCAGTATGAGCGGCCAGTACCTTATTTCTTTCTAGATCCGAAAGCTGAAGCGCTCCGTTCTCAAGATTCTTTGGGTCTTTCTCTCGGATCGTGAAGATCCAGTCTCCAGAATCGCTGCCTCCGGAGGCTTGGCCATCTGTTTCCCTTAAAACAGAAATGGAGCGAATTCCATGAATAAGCATGCGCGCCCTGGCCTGGCGGGAGACACCTTGCTCTCTCCCACTCCCACCCCAACCCTGGCAAAACTCTCCAATTGTCCCTGCTCCCCTCAAATCAACACCCTTCACGTCCCTCTGAAACTTTGACCAGAGGACTCTGCTTCCAACATCAGAGAGAGAGAGAGAGAGAGAGAGAGAGAGAGAGAGAGAGAGGTGGGCCATGGTTCCCATCACATCCCAACCCCACATAACCATGCGCCAGCCCACCCACCCACCCCTCTTCCAGCACCCATCTCCCCACACCTGTTGTCCCTCAACCTCCCTCCCTTGGGCTCCCTCCCTGGTGGCGTGGTGGGGTAAGTGCTGGCTGTGAACCCACCAGCCATAAAGAGAAGATCAGGTCGTCTGCTCTCAGGGGGCGGAAGAGAGGCAGCTGTGTTCTTCCTCTCTGCCCTCCAGGGTCAGCAAGAGTCACTGACAGGGAGTGTTCCTGGTCTGACCTTAGGAGGGGGAATCCTCCCTCCATGGCTTCTCCTCTAGCCCACTTCCCTCGAGTTACGTTAGGGCGTTCCATACACTCAGTGGAACACCACAACCCACACGGAACCTGGACACACCACGAAGCGGCCGTTTGAATGGAAAGAGGGAATACTGCTTGGTCTAAAATCCGTCAGTGTGTGGCAGGGGTGCATCTTCTCACCACACAGATCGGTCCGTACGCTGAGCAAATGGCTGAGAGGCTGGGCTCTACGACACCACAGCACCGGGACAGGGCAGGAAGGCGACTCTGAACGAGTTCTGATACGCAGCTGAGACACACCCTGCTGTTCACGCCACGGGAGACTGGCAGCATATACTGATGACAATCCAAGGCTGCAGCCCAGTGTGCATCATAATCCTCAACACCAAAGGGCAAACCCCCCACCGCACCGATGGAGAACAAAATGGAGTAAAGACTACAATCGTTGAGGATTTAGTTCTGCTTCAATCCACAATCGATGCCACAGAAGCAGGAGTCAAGCGATTAAACGACATATTGCATTAGACAAATCTGCTGCATGAGAAGACCTCTTTTTTTATTCAGGTTTTCACTAATTTCATTTTATTTTTAATCAATTTATTGGGGGCTCGTACAGCGCTTATCACAATCCATACATACATCCATTGTGTCAAGCACATTTGTACATTTGTTGCCAACATAATTTTCGAAACGTTTTCTTTCTACTTGAGCCCCTGTTATCAGCTCACTTTTCCCCTCCCTCCCTCATGAACCCTTGATAATTTATAAATTATCATTTTGTTCATGCCTTACACTGACTGATGTCTCTCTTCACCCACTGCTCTGTTGTCTGTCCCCCTGGGAGGGGGTTATATGTAGATCGATGTGATAAAAGAAAATGCTCTGAAAATGATGATGGCAACCTATGTACAAATGTGCTTGACACAATGGATGAATGTATGGATTGTGATAAGAGCTGAACGAGCCCCTAATAACAGAATTTAATTAAAGAAAATAAACGAACAAGTCAAATCACATACAAGCAGCCAAACATCGAATAGTAAAAATGGGTAGAAATTTCAGCACCCAGAAAAAGCATAAGGTCCCAAAGATGACGTCCTCTATTAGCACACAATGGCTAGGCCATGACAGGGCAGTACGTCCACTGCAATATTTCACATGGTAACTGGGGGTGGAGGTGGGGGGAGTCGGTCTCGGCTGAGATTGAGCCCGGACTATTTGTGACCATGGGTGAGGATTTTTGAAAGCAGGTCATCAGTCTTTGCCATGGCTACTTCTCATCGCTTTGCATTCCTAGACGCCAGCCTGCCATCCCCTGCGCCCACAATGTCGAAGCCTGCACTGGCCAGGCCTCCCCACCCGCTCGGAGAACTCGCCTGTTGGTCTTGGGCTCGCCTTCGGTCATCATTTTAGCTTTCACATGAACACCTCATATAAATACCACTTCCTCCTTATTTGGGACTGGATCCTCCCTACATGGAAACAGTGCGCCTTCTCTCTGGATGCGAGCTAGAAACGCCATGACCAGAGCTCTTGGAGGAGCTGAAACTCTTTTGGAAATGAAGTATTAGCTGAGAGCAACCAAACCAACCCACTGCCACCGAGTCGGGGCCGCTCACAGCTCTGCCTATGGGGTTTCTGAGCGAGAACAAAGAGCCACACCTTGAGCAGCCCAGAGAGATGGGGTGTGGAGCACCGAAGAGACCAGACCCGCCGGCCGGGCTCACTTACACGTCGGAATCCTCTGAGCTGGAGTCGTCGTGGCTCTGCTCGGCCTTCCACCGCTTGTACCTGTCGATGAGCTCGGTCAAGTACGAGGTCTTCTTTGCGTTGCGGATGATAAACTTGTGCTTCAACAGCTCCTTAGCAGTGGGTCTCTGGAAGGCAAGCAGCTCCACGTGAGAGGCGAGTTCACCACTCTCTACCTGAGCCCTTCTCGAAGGCCACGTGGGTGTGCAAGGATGGAGCTGACTTCGACGCTCAGTCCTGCCCTCGTGGCTCCATCAAACAACAGTTTGTGGCTCCGCCACTGGAACTGGGAGTGGGGAAGTGGCGTTTGCTGTCCCAGGGGACAGCAAAGGACGTTTATGTCCTACAGGTGATAAGAAAACGTCTTGCAGAAAAATACATTTGCTACAGTTTCAAAGGGATCCAGTCAGGAGAGTGAGACCACAATGTCCCCAACTTTCTGAAACACCTTCCAGTCCAAATTCTGGTGAGCAAAGAAAGATGTCTGGTGTCATTTGGTGAACACTGTACACTAATGTTTGGCTCCCTTAAAATGATTAAAGTAAAATAATGAATACATTAGCTGGAATTCATCTAAAAGTGACAGCTGTAGAGGAGCAAAAAGAAAAAGTAAACTCACTGCCAGTGAGTCCGTTAGGACCCATATTGACCCTGAAGGGCAGGGCAGAGGGCCTCTGTGGGCTCCAAGCCCCATCTTTCACCTGGTGGTGTTCGGCCAGGGGCTTCGAACTGCGGACCTTGCCGTCAATAGCCCAACACGTACACCACTGTGCCAGCGGGCTTCCTTGGAGAGGCACCATGAGCTACCTTTTCTTACATGCTTCGAGGAGAACACCTGCATTCTCTTCATTACTAGCTTTGACAACAGAGAAGCCCGCTTCCCAGGGCTGTGCCTTCCCACGTGGGTGGAGGTGAGGGCTATGCCCACGGCCTGTCTCATCTGAATTCTACCAGCTGCTCTGCCCGGGAGGAGGGCAGTGCCAATTCCAGAGAGCGTGCTCCCCCAAGTGAGAAGAGGCAGGCACACACAACCACGAGCTAGGTGAGACCCCTCTCTATCGCAAGGCATTAGTGCTTGACAGAGAAATCTCAGCTTGGGGAAAGCCAGGGTCACGTCCGATAGTCCTGCCTGCCCGTCCAGGTGATGGGGATGCCAGTGCACCTCTCATCCCTCGCCTCAGTCAACTGGGGTTGGCGGGGAAGTGTGTGCGGGACAAACACGCAGACACCAGAAATGCAGTTGTGATCGGGAGATACACAGCCCGACGTACCAGGTGCGTGCGTATCTGCTGGGGGGCGGGAAGCACATGTCATGATGTAGAATTCAAGCACGGCGGACATGTACGACCCTTGACACACTAATACCACACTGTGGAGCACCGTTTTAAGATGAGAGCTGGAAACGGGAGGCAGGGAAACCCATGGGATCACATGAAAGAGTCAAATACAGCAATGGCCGAGGGCGCACTCTGCTAGGAGGCAAATGACCCAGGACTGGTGACTGCTGCCCAGCATGGCCAGTCGTGACAACACAATTAATTTGAGGGGGGAAAAATAAGGTGGGTGATCCATTAAATACCCTTTGTTTATTTTTGCCTTTTCTTCCCCAACACATGCCAGCTAGAAATTCACATTTACTTTAAAGAGAGATCTAGCCATTATTTTTCTGGCTTTGCCATTACTGAAATCAGTGTAGTACTTTATTACCTGGCCTGACTCTAAAACAATGAAAATTCACGGATTCACATATAATATTACAGAGAATACAGACCACGCTCAATGAGGCATGACACACTAGAAAATCTACTGAAGGAAGTGAAGTGGGTGATTAACCCTTAACTAGAAAGTAACACTAACAACAAACTTGGAGGCGAGTGAGCCAGCCAATGGGAGCGTCATAAAGGCAGCTGATGAAAGCGAGGGAGAGAGTCGCCCACTGAGCACACTGAAAGAACCTTCAACAGTCGGCCACCAGGACGGGAAAGACCAGTACCCTTCAGATTTTCTAGAACTGCATGTCTAAATCCAAGTTTATCTAGATAGAGCTGTGTCTGCTGCTGAAATAGTAGAGAACCTAAGAAAATACAACTGATTCCAGGAATGCACAGACCTGGACAAACATCTAAGAAAAGACTCAAACTCCAGGGAGTGGATTTGTGAACAGCACAGAAGGCCATGAGGGCCCTCGGACCACGTCAAAGCGTGTTTAAGGCAGTATCGTGAACTCCCGTGGAACCCTGTGACAGGGTGTGCCCTTTCTCAGTTTCAATTTCCTCAATAGGAGCAAAGGTGACAGCGCTTACGAGCTGGGCTGCGATGTGCATCATCAGTAGTTCAAAACCACCAGCTGCTCCCCTGGAGAAAGGCATGGCACTTTACTCCCATAGCCAGTCAGTCTCAGAAACCCACAGGGTTTACCCTGTTCCAATAGATATCTAGGAGCCCGAATTGGCTTGCATTTTCCCCCAGATTCTCTCCAGGGACAAAGAACACATTGGAGTTTCTGTTAAACCAAAAGAACCTCTTGGGGGCCCCATCAACAGAATGGCAGGGCTCTGCACCCCCAGCCCCAGCCCGACTCGTGTGGAGAGGAACCCACTCGGCTGCAGACAGAAATTCTGACGACAGCTTCCTCTCCCATTAAGGGCCATCTCAAATGCACCCAAAGGCTCGGTGATAGAGCGCCTTCCTGAACTTCTGTTCAACAGCCACTGCAGCCACACCATTACCCGGAGCCGTGACTCACAAAGCTCGGCTCCTTGTTCAGACAGGCCTCCACAAACTCTTTGAGGGGCTTGCTGTAGTTTCCTTCCAGCGTTGGCGGGCTGTTCTTTGGGATGAGGAATAAAACCTTCATGGGATGCAGCTCAGAGTGAGGTGGCTCCCCTTTAGCGAGTTCTATAGCTGTGATGCCCAGGGACCAGATGTCCGCCTGCAATGACAAAAGCAACGTTAGAGTCCCTGGGCCGTAACTCATGAGGCAAAATACACTTCTTAGAGGAGCGGGAAAAGGTACAACATTTCAGTGGACTGAGTCCCCTGGTGACCCACATAGTTGAGCGTGCTCGACACCTGGCATGAGGCTGGCTGTTCAAACACACCCACCGGCATCCGCAGGCAGGCCCAGCGACCAGCTTCCTGAAGGTCACGGCTGGGACAGCCCAGGGAGCACAGCTCCGCTCCTCACGCACACTCACCAGGAGTCAAAGTGCCTGAATTGCAAATAACAGCAACTCAATGTACTTCAAGGTCAGGGTTTTGAGAAAGAAAATTATTTTCCATCAATAATGGAGAAGAGAAACTATCATTTCAAAATGGGCATTTACTGGAGAAAAGGTAAGCCAATTACTCTATTTTGTTTTGATTTATATGTTGCAGGGTGTTCGTTATGAAGTCCCTTGAGCCCCGGTCAGGGAGGTGGCTGGGGAGACAGGGCTGCAAATCGCCCATCAGGCCAGGCTTTCAGCGAAGCTCTGAGGGTGAACGGACACCTGCGTCCAGCTGTTTCAATGCAAGCTCTGCAGCCCACTGTCACACGGTTTGAGACGAAATACCCAACCTCTACACCCCAGCTTCCTGCACGTGTCAAATGGGGGTGACAGGGCAGTTGTACCGCTGCCTTGAACTTAAGTATGCACATATATGTCCATGTGTACTATGGCACCATGCAACACAAAGTAGAGCACGTTATACTGCAACTCCACAGGCCCACCACATGCTTTCAATAGCTATTAATAGTTTGCCCTAACATACTTTAAACACAGATATTGTAACATTTTCCCCGTGAGCATTTCAGCTCCAACACGAGTAACAGTAATTCCTTAACAACAGGTCAATCCTGACCGTTTCTCCACTATTTAAACCAACAGTTAGCTAATCGGAATCAAGATCCAAACACCGCTTTGGCTGCAACAGTGGGTGCCAGCCGCAGTGCCTGTGGTGGCGGCTCATGGCTCGTTCTGTTGGCAGGGGTCACTGTGGCTTGCAGCCCCCACGGGTGGCCTAGCCATCTGCTGAAATGAGTAGACTGTGGCACACCCAGGAAGACGGTACGCGGAGCCTCTGGTTCTGCGTGCTTGGGGAGGGCGGGAACCTTCGAGTCCTTGACTCATCAAGGGCTACAAAGGCCGTCAGGGTGCCGACCACGGCAATTCAATGCTCGATGGCCAGGTCCCAGCACACCCGTGTGGGGCGCCAGACACCCCTGCGGTTCCAGCCACTGTGGCTCACGTGGCTGGCTATGGGTTCCACGGAAGCATCCTACCACTCACGTACTGTGTTTAAAAGGTGGGAGGTCTAGCGTGTATTGTAGAGGATTTCCACTTCGCGGGAAGCAGCCGTTTGGGCAGAGAAGCGCCAGCCTCTGGGGACCAAGAGGAGGTCTGACTGCTTTGGGGAACAGGCAGGGGCGGAGGCTACTTGTTTGAGAAACAGAGGCTCACTCAGTGACACGGGGGGCAAAGAGGCCCTGGACCTCGTCTACCACTGAGCCTTTCCTCTCGCGCCTGCACAGCAAGCATCGCCTCCCGTGCACGTGGCCGCAGGAAATGAGCAGGGACGACCGGACCGCAGACGACGCGGCGTTTGAACTGTGGTGCTGGCAAAGAACACCGAAGAACCAATCAGCAGCACAGCCAGCGTGCTCCTTTGGCGAGGCTTCGGCTCGGTACTCTGGACGCCTTGGCAGGAGAGCAGTCCTGGAGGAGGGCGTCCCGCCCGGCGGGGGCCGGTCAGCACAAAGAGAGGAGGCCCTGGGCAGTGGCTGTAGCGGAGCGCTCAGACGGACAACGGTGAGGGAGGGGGCGCAGGTCAGGGCAACGCTTCCTTCTGTTGTGCGCAAGGCCGCTACTGTGTCGGAGCCAACTGGATGGCAACTCACAACAACAGCAGCAAGAAGACAAACAACAGCAACAAGAAAGCGGAAAGGCCACGAGGGGAGACAGGAGACCCAGGAGAATGCACTGAGACCGTGGATGGAAACAAGGAATATGGTTTCCCTTTATTTCGATTAAAAACCTCTGGGAATAACTATGGTCTTGAAAACTGAAAATAATATGATGTGAAGAATCTACAGCATTAAATGCACTGCTCTTTCCCAATTCTGCTCTTAAAATTCTGAAGACTCTATTCTGCTATCCTTGTTTCTCTCTTTCTTACATACTGTTCAAGGCATTCTACCCAAGGGCCACTTCTCACTCATGTAGACCACTGGGCTCACACCACCGCCCTCACAGCTTCCAGCTTCCCAGAGGACACTTCTGCAAGTGCCTCCACGCCGATGGGTCCCGTGACCATGAACGCAGCAGGGCCAAGCTGGCCCATCGCCCCTCACTCAGTTCCCTGTCAGTGCTGCCCACCCACCATCGCCTAACAGTATGTGTTTGAAGCCCCAACCCTCAATTAATAGTAAATGATACAGGAAAAGCAACAACAACCCTATTTCTAACCGAGATCCGAGAAGGACCATTCTGATCTACTTAAAGGTACTTTTAGAAAAAAGTTCTAAGGTTAAAGAGCAAAAGGCATTGGCTTTGCTTACCTTTGAGTCATATGCTGACTGTTTAATGACTTCGGGTGCCATCCAGAAAGGGGTGCCCACAAAGGTATTTCGCTTGATCTGGGTATCCGTCAACTGGCCGGCCACGCCAAAATCAGCCAGCTTCACCTCTCCGTGTTCAGAAAGCAGAACATTGGCAGCTGCAAAACAAACCCACAGATGCCTCCTGACACTGTCAGTCGACTGTGTTTCTGAAAGTGGGGTCATTTGGGAAGCGTGCCCAATTCTTACTCATTCTTATGAGCATGAGCGTGCAGTGCTCGCAACCAGAGACCCCCTGCCGACTCCCCACAGCAACCCTGTGCAGGTACGTCAAAGACACTCCACAAGCACTGGCAAGACAGGGTCCCGGGAGATGGACAGCTTTGCACGACAGCAAGCGCCTACCTGGCCTAGGTATCGTAAAGAAATAAAATCACAACGATTTCTTACCTTTAATATCTCTATGAATTTTCTTCTCTGAATGCAAATAATCCAGTCCTTTCAGTATTTCTCTCAGTATAGTAGCAATCTGGGTTTCGTCTAAAGGGCCAGGTTCTAACTAGAGAGGGAACAAACAAAGGCAAGTGAATTAAGTGACTATTTTATCACTTGAAATTTAAAGCAACACAGAGACAATAGCCTATTAATAAGACGATCTACAGACATCTGCATTCCGAGAGACACCTTGCTCCACTGCGAACACTGGCTGGACGAGTGCTGACACACAGGAGTCCTCCTGGCACACTGTTCACGGGGCGCTGTGAACTGCAAGGTCAGCCATGGGAAAGCACGAGCCACTCCTCGGAGGGAGACGGGGCTTTCTACTCCTCCCTGAACTCGTGAACACACGGGCCGTTCCACTCTGTCCTACAGGGTCGCTGTGAGTAGCATCAACTTTACGGCAACGAATCCATTCTTGTTTTGTTTAACAAATTAACAGTCCGATTGGCTAAAGGTCAAAGTAAGTCTTATTTGGAAATAAAAAGCCCGGGGAGGGTGCCCTTGGCCAGGGGAGGGCTACCCTCAGATCTCGCCAGGGGGAGCAGGCCAGGCCGGCACAGTGGAAGACACACGGCGCCCAGAAGTTACACCGCTAGCGGGTAAACGCAAGCCTTGCTCTCCCCTAATGCACTGGATTACCTTTTCGTGAAACATCACTGGTGACCAATGAGACAGCCGGCTTAAAAAACCACAAAAGGCGCTGGCAGCACCATGGAAGCTGCTACTTTCTCCAACTCTCCTTGCCCCGTAATTTTATAATTCTGTACTTTAAGACCATCCCTGCCCACAGTTCCATTATTATTTTTACCACAATGATGTGGTAGCAGTTGTCTCTGAAAATTTTTATTTTGAGAAACTCAACGTAAATGACTCCTTAGTAGTGATTCTTAATAGCCCTCATTGTATGGATTGTAGAATGGGTCAAAATGGGCTGTGAACCAGGCATGCATATGTGGGTTTATTACAAACAAAACGTGTTTTAAAAAAACAAAACATATTTAAACACGTCTCTGTGACCAGAGGATGGCTGGAGACAAGTTCTCGCAGTCTTACGTCTTACCTAAGAGCCCCGGCGACATCGTGAGTTATACGAAGGGCTAACCACAGGGTCAGAGGTTCAAACCTGCTCCTTGGAAGAAAGATGAGGGAGGTCTCTGTTCCTTCGGATTTACAATCTGGGAACCCACCAGGGCAGTTCAGTCCCACTGTCTTACAGGGTCACTGTGAGATGGGAATCAACCTGACAGTGGGTTTGGGTTGAGTTCAGACTTGTTGGGGTACCTTCAGAAAAAAACCAATTAAAGCATGGCTTCCAGGGAATCTGCTGGAGCAGTGAGATTCATAGTAGAACGATCAACTCAGAAAGCTATGGTGATTGGTTTGGGGGCTCCTAAGGGACACTCTTGACAGAATTTCTCAAAGGATACAGGATGATCACAAATGTTATTAGGGAGACACTTTAAGAACTGGTGAGAAGTGTTTTCCATCCTGATCAATACATCTGCTCATTCTTCCAAGGCAGTGAAGGCTGTCCCAGGAGAACGGCATGGGGAAACCTTATTTCACCCCCTGCAGCTCCCACCCTGCCCTTTCAGACCTCTGACCCCAAACCCAAAGAGCATGAAAAGAGCACTGTGAGCCCCTTGAGGGTGCCCCAACAGACTAAGACAGCGACGTCGCGTAAGTGCAGGGGTGCAGAATGCTTCCGGGAAGGGTTCCAGTGATGGGACACTGCCTTCCGGCATGTGCAGACCTATGTGTGTGGGGGGAGGGTGTTGAGAAACACAAGCTGTACCACTCTACAGTCTGGTTTGATAAAAGCCCCTATGATTTTTGCAGTGATGTGTGTGGACTAACTCTCATAGTATGGAAAATGTGTTAGCACGGCTCCACTTAAAAGATAAGGCATGGGGGGAGGGGGGGTTAAGTTAAAGCACTCAGTTCAAATCTGACCCTTCCACAATCACTCAAAGAGCAATGCGGTAAATCAAAGCGAATAATTGCATAACTTACCTCAGCAGAACACGCCTCAGATTCCCTAACGAATTAATAATGAACCAAATAACCGAACATTGACTTTCACCTACACGCTGGGTGTCTGCACCACGTGTGCAGGTTGTGAGGAACTGCATCGTGACCTACATGACCAGGCACCAGGAGCGCCCGGTTCCGGTCACCTGTGAGCGCATCTGCTTCTTTCCTAGTCTCATGATCACAAAAGTCAAACCGTGAGCCAGCCAGCCCACCAGGCATTTACCCCAAAGTCTAAGTTACCCTCCAAAAACTACCGCACACGAAGACAGCGGGGCGCCCTCTATTCCCGTGGACCCCCTTTTCCCCTAATGGATCTGACCAAGGAATCTGATTGCAACACATACTGAAAGCACCGTGCCGAAGTCCTGCCTTGCTAATGCATATCCATCTGTTTCCACTCCGCGTCCAAGGGCCCCGAATGCAGATTTAAATAGCCAGAAGAGGGAGCACACTTCTAAGGACCGGGGAAAGGGGGGAGAGACTTGTAGGACCCGGAGAAGAACGGACTCCTTCAGAACCGTCACGCTGGCCCGGCCCATGCTCCGCTATCAAGCCTTCCCCCAAGCAGGTCATGGGGGATATGGGGCTGGATTTGGGTTCACCACCTCTCCCTCTCGGTGCTCGTATCAAACCACTGTGAAGACGCGCGGAGCAGCTGCAGTTCTTACCCGGGCAGAGGTGAAGGAGCCCGAGGGCAGCCAGTGGCAAGACCTTCCCCGGGAGCACGAGGAGCTGGCTCTGGGATTCACATGCACGGGCCGCCCTTTCCTAGCTGGCCTCAGCACACGGAACGCATCATGGATTTACACGCCTCGGGGGCGGCAGTCTACAGGAGAGGCCGGCTCCCCCACCGTGCTGACTTGCCCTTTCGTGCGGTGTAGATCCGCCTCATTTTGCAAAGACCGAACCGACCCCCCAGCGTTCGTGCTGTCATCTACTCGAAGACTGCAGGGCAGGGCGGGGCGGGGCGGGCTGCTCTCGGGGTTCCAGAGCAGAAAGTCTCCTCTCCACTGGTGGCTTCAAACAAATAACCCGGAGCCAGCGCCTACTGTCACACAGGACGGTCCTCCCTGGGGTCAAGACTCGCCAAAAAAGAAGTCAGCTGCTCTCTTCACCACAGAGCTCCTCTGAACAGACAAGGCCAGGTGAGCCTCCACCGTTAGCTCGGACAGGGAACTCTCCCAAGCGGTCATACGAATGGTGCCAAGTAAAAGTGCGGTTCCGCTCTCCCCACCTCCCCTGTCACCCAGTCCGTCGGGCACATGGCCACGCCTCCAGAAGTGACACTTCGCTGCCTCTGCTGTAGCAAGAGGCAGCCAGGTGGCTTAGTGCTTGCCAATAAAAAATGAACAGAAGGACCCACGTGCCCCTTCCTGGCACCGGCGGTGAAACACTGGCAGCTGAGAGGGACAATGACGGAGGATCACGTGGGAGCAAGGGGTCGAGGGCAGCAGCACCAGTCACCTCGGCAGCCAGGTCCCTGATGGCTTGGTGGAAGGGAAGTAATTACTTTGCTTGAAAGACTATTTGCGGGCCACCGTAGCAGCAAGGAGTGGCGCAGTGGGTTAAGTAGTAGGCTGCTAACCCAAAGGTCACTTGTTCAAGCCCACCAGCTGCTCTGTGGGAGAACGAGGCCATCTGCAACTATGAAGATTCCCAGCCTTGGGAACTGTACGGTGCAGCTCTGTGTTGCTGTGAGTCAGTCAGAATCAACTCAATGGCAGTGCGTTTCGGACGGCAGGTTGAACACACCATTCTTACATTAAAAAAAAAAAGGTCAGCTGATTCACGTTTAAGCCTGTCACACATTTCTGCCTGATTGAGGGGCCAGTTGATATAGCTGCTGTTGTTACTGAGTGTCGATGAGTCACAGCGACCTTATGCACAACAAAATGCCCAGTCCTGCGCCACGCTCACAACCGTCGCTGTGCCTGGGCCCGCTGCTGCAGCCCTGTGTCCGCCCACCTCCCTGAGGGTCTTCCTCTCCGTTACCCAAGACGGTGTCCTTATCCAGGGCCTAGTCTCTCCATCCTTGCCTCTAATGAGCACTCTGGCCATACTTCTTCCAAGACAGGTCAGTTTGTCTTTCCATACATCATAACTCCTTAATTAGATTCCACAGTTGTTTCTAACACCTTAGAAGCAATCCTCTTGCAATACTGACTGATTTTCCAATCAGCTGAAAACCTTTTAGTCTCACAGCCTGACTGCTAATCTCACCCCAATGCCCAGTCCTCCTCCCCATTAATTTCCCGTGTGCCCTCGGTCACACTATGTAACTGGCTTCTGTCCCCCAACAGTGACACAGCTCCCTGGGAGAGGGACTTTGCTTCTGCTTGTACTGTATGAGTCAGCACTGACTCCATGACAGTGAGTTTGGTGGGGTTTTTGGTTATATCCCCGATGGCTGGGTCAACACATGGTAATGAGTCAGTAGGTGATCCCCAAAAAAGTTTTGTTACATAACATGAATGCTTAAACCATGTGTGGTAGTCACTTAATCTGGTGTCAATTTAAGGACTAAGAGTCTAGGGATGGCATCTAGGCTGTCAACCTGGAGATAGCCAATGAGACTTCTGTGGGCATGGCATTCTCCTGAGAATTCTGGAAAATCTGGTACTTCCTCCTTCAAAGCGGAAGACACCTCTCTCTCTCTGCTACTCCCTGGGAGACATTGCAGAAGACAAGCCACATGGACGAACCAGACCTCAGAAGCCAAAGAAGTCACAGAGAGACCCCTGCCAGCGCTGAGATGCTTCCAACGCCACCGGACCCAAAGACTTTCTACCCACTGGCCTGTGATCGTCCTGCATTTGGCTTCACTGCATGTGTTTCATGAGTCTGAAGAGGACTTTATAGATTGGTATCGGACACATGGGCTAATATCAGACTTACGGCTTTGGACTGGACTGGGTTGGGTTGGGATGGTAATTGAGAGATGAAAACACAGATAAAACACAGGCTACATACACCTACATGCTGAAGCAGCGGTTACCGGATGAAAGCAGGTGGCTCCCTGCTGTCTCAACGCAACGAGAAGAATGAAACAAAGTACCTCAAGGCTGACATAAAAAGACCTGATAACCAAAATGTAAAATTTTTAAAAGGCAAAACATACAGCAGCATGCGCACTGTAATTCAAGCCATACAGAAGACACACGTTTGTGTCTAAGTGGGAGGGAGGGAATCCAAAGACCGCCATCCTGAAGAAACTACAACGTCGGCAGGTCAAACCCATCGGGGCCCCGGGCGAAAGACGAAGTTTCTGCTCCAAAGAGAAATGCACTCTTGGAGACGCTGTGTAGGTCCCTAGGAGTCTGAGTGGACCGGCCCGCACGGGGCTTGGTTCCAGTCTTCCCGATAACGTTCCGAGACAGGTCTCTACGTGTGTGGAGAGAAAGGTGAGTCTGGACGACTAGGTAAGGTCAGGTCACTCGGGGACAAGGCGGAGACCTGAGTGCAATGAGATCCACAGGTCACCTTTTCCTGGAAATGAGCCTTCTCACCTCTTCCTTCCTAGCATTTGATGACATTCTTTGAAAGCCAGATTAAAAATAAATAAATTCTCTCAAGAATATTCAAATAAAGACAGCAAATCTTTATATAAGACAATATTTTGGTGCATACAAAAAATTGTTCAGAAACAACACCAAATCAAACCTACTGCTCCTGAGTCAATTCCAACTCACAACGGCCCTTTAGGAGGAGAGCTGCCTCATCTTTCTCCTGTGCAGTGGCTGCTGCCTTTGAACCGCCAGCCTTGAGGTTAGAAGCCCAACATCTAACCCACAGTGCCACCAGGGCTCCTCAGAGGCTGTGAAAGCAATTCTAATGGCTTCGACACTAAAAATGAATGTGAGCACACCAAAGAGTGCCTCTCTCTTTGCAGCGGCCGGAGGTAGACCCGCACAAAGAAGATGTACGATGGAGAGAAATTGAGTGCGGTCCAGTATGGGGACCAGGAAGGGCACAGGCTTTGTTTGTACCTGCACAAAAGAAGATTCGAAGCTCAGCTCTGCTATTTCCCAGTTGGTGCAGCTGCTCTCGAAGCTTCCTCACTAAATGAAGTGATTAGGGACATCTCAAAGGAATGAATAGCAAAAGCCAAACTCATCGCCAGTGAGTCGGTGCCAGCTCACGGGGACCCCACAGGACAGGGTAGAACTGCACCTCTGAGATGTTGAGGCCGAAACGCGTGATGGATGTACAAAGCCCCATCTTTCTCCTGGAGTGGCTGGTGGTTTTGAACTGCTGACCTTGAGGATCACAGTCCAACACGTAACTACTTCACCACCAGGGCTCCTCAAAGGAATGAAAGAGCTACGTAGGTAGGAGATGGATGGCTGTTTTCAGGACCCTCACACATGTGATTAAAAAACAGTGGAGAATTCAACACTGCCTTCTAACCATGATGTCTAAAATTTCAGAGATTAAAAACAACTCAAAGAGCCAAAGAAATTTATTATCAAATCAAATTAAATCATTATGGCACTAAGAATGAACAGACTGAAAAAATTTAAAAACAAAACAACGAACAGACTTGAGCACTGCTCTGAAGGGCTCCGTGTTGGGTACGAGTCTCCGCTAACAACTTTATGTACGCCACACAATAAAATTCATTTAAGAGAACAGTACGTCTAATTATGTGACATGAGGGTGGTGTTCTGCATTCCTGTAGCATTTCCCACAAAAATTTAAAATGCAAGAAAATGCAGATTTACAGAGAGGAACCAAAAGCGAATCATAAAATGTACACAAGCTGTTTTCCCCGAATGGGTATCACATATCTATCATTTTGGTAAAAATATTTTCCTGGAAATTTTTCGTGTAAATACCATCTTGACCAAATGCTTTTACAGTCTGTAGAATCATGCAACTTTCTGAACTGGGTCAACAACCTAAAAGGCCTTTCAGGGGTGCATAAAGGTTTATAGATAAACCTTCTAAAAAACTAACAATCACTATGAAAAAGATACATGGGGGTGGGAGGAGAGAAAAGAAATACTGTTTTAATTCAAGTCATTTCTTTCCTTCAGGAATCAAATGTGCAGATCAGGGCTACAGAAACCCAGGCTTCCTGCAGTTTTCACAGTAACTGCGTGAAAACCACACTCCACTCACCACCCTGACAGCTCTCTATCATGCCAGTCCCACCCTCCGACACAAAAATGGTAGGTTGAGCCGTCCTGGAAATCACCACTCATCAGAAACGCGCCTTGACACAAGGGATATGAACCAGAGGGCTGATGACATTGATTTAGCTGCCAGCAGGCATGTGATGTCAAGTGGTAATGAACAACTGTGTGAGTTCTGTATTTGGGGTGGGGGTGGGTATGTACGTGTGTACACACACACACACACACACACACACACACACACACACCAGGTTTAAAGGATGCTATTAGCACTGTTTACGATACACCGGTTGTTTGTGAATATTCTAGCAAAGCCCAGAATGCAACCAATTTTACTGATAGATATTACTCAGGTTGGGACTTTTGAAGGTGGCTGGCTGCTGCCTCCTAGCGACCCCTGGTGTTACAGAGAAGAACTGCACCATCGGTTCTTCTTGGCCGTTTTCTTTCATGATTAAAAGTAGATTTTGCATCTGAAGCTGAGAAGTTGGCCCTAACCACTAATCTGCCAGCAGCAGCTGGTCGCTCACCATTTGCACCACTTGGGCTCTTTGTCCTAGTCAGCCCTGGCTTACACTCCCTATGTGGCTAGCAGTGTGGGAGAGTTCCAGGTACGGAGCTACAACGGGCTGGTCTGGCGCCAGGATAAATTCACCCTTGAGCCTCCATGCCATGGAAGTGGGTCTCCGTCCTGCCCGGACTCCAACATCCTCTAACACAGGGCCACCTGTGTCCCCTGCTTAGGTGCCGACCTTGGAAGCTCTGCTACCATCTGAAATAACGAAACAATGATGGGGTAGCAATTCTAAAAGAGGCAATGGTTTTGACACATCAGCAAACTCCAGGCACTGCTTCAATGAACAAACATGTCAGTCCGGGGACTTATTTCCCGGGACCCCATACAACTGTCTCAAAAGGAGCCGGTATTACTTCTCAGCAAGTTATCAGACTGAAGCCAAACACATAATGACAAACCTGCTTCCTTTTTTGATGTAATTCAACCAAGCAGAAACTGATGGGGCCAGACTTATCTTTAAAGCCAATGTTTTCTGTGAACGAACTCTGATGCGCTGTCCAGAGAGATACTTACTAGATCGAGTGCGGAGCCTCCTCCAAGATATTCCATTATTATCCACAACTTGGTGTCCTACAGAAACACATACACAAAGAGAGAGAGTTATTTTTAAAGCAAGCAAAAGCAGGAAAACTTACTTGAGGGGGCCGTGTGTGTGCAATCCCGTTAGAACTCGAAAGCTCCATAAAATACATTACCAGCCCAGAAAGTACGTCAACGCGAGCAGAGACCAAAAACTACTGTGCCAAAGAGGGGGCTTAGACCCAGCGATCCTCTAGAACCGTGGCTCCCAACCTTCCCGATGCCGCGACCCTGCAATACGGTTCCTCGTTTTCGTGGCTCCTTCATCACTCATTTTGCTACTGTGACGAATCAGGAGACCCCTGTGGGAGGGTCGTTCGACCCCCAAATGGGTCTCCACCCACAGGCTGAGAACCACTGCTCTAGAACCTAGGAGAAGAGCCCCTCTGGGTCTCCCAGCTGTCGCCCTAGAGGAGCAATGACGCCCGAGTCAGAGTAGGGGCGGTGGTCACAGGGCCTGGCGCGGTCCAGCTGCAGTGCTGCCCAGCGTCTTATAGCAGCGTTGCACGCACCAGGACAGACGTGAGAAAGCCGTGGGTTCTTCAGCAGAGCACTGAGCTCTGGCTCGGGGGCACTGATAAGCGGCCCTCTCACATGGAACACCTACATGCCTGCCTCGGGCACCCAGCCAGCACCTACGGAATGCGTCGTGGTTTCTCAGGCCTTTCTGCCCGTGGCATTTAAAGTCAGAAGACCCTTCTTCTGGTCTGCTCTGAGTCCGCATACCCTGTGCACCACCACCACCACCCCGCCCTCAGCATTTTTGTTAAAACTTTGCCTCCTTATTTAAGTCATTTTATTGGGGTCTCTTACAGATATTATAACAATCCATAAATCAATTACATCAAGCAAATTAAAATTAGTACAGCTGTTGTCATTATTTTCAAAACATTTTCTTTCTACTTGAGCTCTCCTTTATCCCCTCCCTCCCCCACCCTACCACCTGCGCGAACCCTTAAAATTTTATTTATTATTTTTTCATATCTTACACCACCTGATGTATTCCCTTCACCCACATTCCTGTGATTCGTCCCCCTCCAGGCGCGTACACATCATCATAGCTATCAGTTCCCCCTTTCCCCGCTTACCCCCTTCCTTCCTGTAATGGAATCGTTACTCCCATGACTGTTTCTGAGGAGTTTATCTCTCCTGGATTCTGTGTGGAAAGTTTTTATCTGTACAAATAAAAACGGGTATAGCAGGGTTTCTGAGGTGGAACTGTTGTCATCACGGTGGGGGGAGGAAGCACTAAAGAACTAGGCTGTCTCGTCCATTCCATGTGTCCTTTCTGTGAGGGAATGTCCATTACCACAGATGGGCTTTGGGTCTCCTCTCTGATCCCTCTCCTTCAGATAGATGCAACTGTTTGTTTTTGATCATCTGATGCCTGATCCCATCGACACCTCGTGATCACACAGGCTGGTGTGCTTCTTCCATGTGGGCTTTGTTGCTTCCCTGCTAGATGGCCGCTTGTTTACCTTCAAGTCCTAAGACCCCAGACGCTGTATCTTTTCAAAGCTGGACCCTGTGCACACTTTTATGCTCACACCTCATGGTCTGATTAAGATCTCAGGTCTGCTTGCCTGTGGCTCCCAGCAAATGGTAGACTAGATAGAGTGCCTCGGGCCCACGCCTGAGCTGGGCAAGCTGATTAATGCTCATGTCCTCTGTACTCCCCCAAACTCTCACTGCCACTGCCTCCATCTGGCTCAGAGAAACCCCGTCACGGGAGGTTGACTTGCATATTCATTTTCAGTGATGGTGATTCATGTATAAGACATCTGATCTTCTCAAATAACCCAGTTTTACTGTATAAACTTTGTCAAGGTTTTATATGCCTTCATGTGCACTCTGTAACTAATTCATCTACTATTTCATCTCATTCTAGACTAGAAAATGCCTTAAAAACAGGTGCTTGGGACCCACCTTATAAAAAGAAAAAAAAGCACTGGATTTACTCACTAGACCCTAGAATCAGGGACATCAGCCAGGACTGGCACCTGCCTTGAAGAGGCTCCGTTACCAATGATCCTGATTTTAACTTAAAAACATAACAACAAAAAACTGTACCAGAAAAAGCTCTTCAACATTTAATTTTCCAAATACACTCAATGTAGATTTCTGAAATACTTGTTTTCTGTTAATGTTTATGCTGTTCTTTCTCAAGGCACTCCAAGAGCACCTTATCAGATAAAGGCAATACACTCGTCCAGAGTAAGTCCCTTTTGGATGACGCCAATTCCCATGGTGGACGGAGTCTTTTACACACGCCCTGCTCCTTCACTTGCAGGGCACTGCAGCAGGACTGGCTAACAGGTAGGCCAGGAGCAAGGTAGGCCAGCTCTCCTTCCCTCTGCCTTGAGCTGCCTGCCTGCAAGGCTGCATACTGGGAAGAAACAGTTGGGGGGAAGCAGCCAGGCACAAGTGCCTTCATCCTCCTCAGGCCTTTTCCAGCTCCCCACTGCCCCAGTTAAGCCCAGCAGGAAACGGAACACCCCATTAGAATTTTTTTCTCTCAGAGAACCATGATAGGACATAAAATGACCTACTTTTCTGTTTCCCTGAAGCCACATTGGGCATTTAAGCAACAGCACAACAGGAGGCCCAGCTCTCCTCCCAAGGCAGCAGCCCCACCCTTCCATTATAAAAGCTTCACCCTTCCTAAAGGAATGTGGGGTGCAATCCGCCCTGCTTCCATTCTTAGCTCACGCCTTGCCCCAGCTAGCTGTGCTGAGGAGGACTGCTCCCCAGGCCGGGAGCACATGGGCCTGGGAAGGGCTTGGTGACACTGCTCCGGGTCCTTCCTTCACATCAGCCTGCCTCTGCACCACACATCTGACTCCCTGACCTCTCTCCAGGTGACTGCTTTTGGTTTCCCTGAAAGCAAAGGGACATGAAAGGACAGTGAGTTGATGGCATAGAAGAGGTGAAGAAAAAGATTAGGAGGTGCTGTCAGCCATCCATTAATTTGAAAAATGTTTCTAAGAATGAAATTACAGGTTTGACAAATATATTAAGTGGAGTGCAGTGCACTTTGAAGGTGATAAGGCTGTTTTGTGAAAATGAATAAACAAACAAACAAATACATAAATATATAGCTTTAGTGGGGAGGGGGATTCTGGGTCTGGGGGATTATAATGATGTCTTCATACAGTGATTGGTCCAGTGGCACTATGGCTTCCACTACCCAAACAGCAAAGTTCAAAACAAATCTGCTTGTTGTTTGTGACTTTGCTCCACAGTCAACTGGCAATCAACGTGAACAAACCTGCACGGGCCTCGAGCGAGGCACGTGTCTCCCCTCACCTGGGACACAAGGGTGATGCTTTAGCGCTGCTCTTACTTGGACAACATCTAGTGAGTCTAAACATTCGTGTACAGTATTGTGAAAGCATTTTGTTGTCAATGTAATGTACTTATTGTGTTTAGATGTTTTAGGGAGTATTTCCATAGCCTAGGGCTGTTAACTTTGTGTTACAAAGTTCTGGAAAATGAATTTGTAAATGTAATTATGAGGCCTCAAAACCAATTATTTGGTTTTCCATGACTTCTGGGGGGGGGGGGGGGGGATTTTTATTTCCCAACCTTTTTGGTGTTCAAACACACATTTGGGACGAATTGAGCAATGTCCAAAAGAGACTAAACGGATATTCTCAGGAAAGTGAAAACTGTGCTTTCGGGGTTCTAAGCAAACACTCCATACGGTTTCCCTTGGTCAACTCCCTAGCAGCGGGCAGCCTGCTGCTTCGTGAATGCTGTCTTGGGAGGATGGCGCAGGACCGGGCAGTGTTCAGCTCTGTTGTCCACACTGTAAGTTGGAAGCAGCCCAGTGGCGCCCAACAACAACAGGCACGCACTCCCCCTCCACCCTAAGAGGAGGCTTCAAACAGTTTACGGGAAACCAGAAGTACAAGATAACAGAATGTGTCCACCTCATCTATCAGTTTCTCAACAGCTGCACAATATATTTTTGGGACAGGGAAGTTCTTTTTTGAGAAGCCATCCTGTGCAGTCTAGGATATCTAACAATATCCTGCCCGCTACTCACTAGATGCCAGTAATGCTGCCATGACTCATCCCACTGAGACCCTATGCAATGCTGGTAAAGCCTGAAGTGGTGCCTGGAGCTGCAGTGCCCACGATCCTTGTCTCTGCATACTCGGCAGAGCCTGCTCTGCTCTGCTAACTCATGGTAGGCATGAGACAAGTCACTTCGATCTTGACGCTCCCAGTCTCCCAGTCCTCCCCCCCACAAGACTATAATAATGCTTCAGTGTCTAACCTCACAATTCAACTGATAATCAAATGAGATCATGACTGTGAAAGCATTTTGCAAAGTGCTATTAGCTTTATTGCCATCGTCACCCAAACCACCCAGGGAATCCAAAATGGCCCAATTCACAAGACCAAAGGGCATTTCTCTGCCTGCGATTTCTGATCAAAACACAACCAGTGGCAGTTTGTCTGCTCTGCCAGGCTGGACGCAAGGGGACCCAGCGAAGAACGCCCGGGTAGCAGGGCACCCCTGGCTGTTCTCAGGAGGGCTTGGCGCTGTCACTTACAGAAACCACTGCCCTCACGAAACCTGCCCTATACTGTGGCTTGCCTGGCACCTGTCCTCTCAGAAATAAACGGCGAGGTTTCTTAAAGCAAAAATGATGTAGAATTAAAAGCTAACATATAAGTGATGCATGGCCTGAGGGTACACATTTCTCACGGGAGGAGGTGGGGGTGACTGACTAAATAAATGAACTAATGATTCGCACTGTAATAGGTACCAATGTATATATGGAGAAAAACTACCCTCCCACTCCTGGTCCCCAGCTGGCCTGTCTTAATCCTCTCCCCGCCCCTCCCAATCAAAGCTTGGCTTACGCAGCCTTCAGAGAAACAGTCTATGCATATCCAAGCAAAGATGAGGCGGCTTCAAAAGTTGGTGGAAAAACTCCTCCCTCGGCTTTCCATCTCATTTTCAACAAACTTTTTGAAGC